ACTACACAGGACCGGAGAGTTATGTGGCCCACATGATCAAGGTTTGAAGATGTATTATATGTTTTTATCTGATATTTAGTATTAAACTATAATATATTTAGCTCTTAATTTTACATTTTGTTCATTGGAAACAGCAATATTGATGTAAAAAAAAATACAAACAGGCCCCACATGTTCACAGTAGCATTTTTTGACCTTACAAGTATGACACAAAGTCAGATTTTTTTTTTTTTAAACTAAGTAGAAATGGGTGGGGATAGGGGGAAGGTGAAAAGTAAACTTTTTTTTAGCTGTCAAACCTCAAACATAGGACTATACAGGATTATTTAAACATGCATGAATCAATCAAACAACAACTGTGAGCAGGTTAATAATGAGGGAACACGGTTATAACCTGGAGATAAAGTTGGTTTAAACCAGCAGGGGGCAGTATTAGCTTAGTTAAACATATTGATTTGAGAGAAGGGTCATGCAGCCAAATCTCTTGTATGACAGCTGTTGTGCTGAAGTCTCATCAGTGAATAAATTAGATAAAGGGCCCATATTACGCCATTTTCTGATCTATATTATAATGTTTCATCATCACAAACACACTGTACCTGGAGTTTTGTTTTGTTTCATTCACACACATTTAAAACACACACCCAGCAGATTTAGGCTGAGTTTTTCTCTCAAACTCTCAAACTGGCAGTTCATAAAAGCACACTAGTAAAACCTGCCCCTTCACTCTCCCTCTCCTGATGTCTGTGTCCAGAACAATAACCTGGACTGGTTCCCGCGGATGCAGGCCATGTCTCTGGTGGTGACGGACGCAGACGGAGAACAGAACGAGATGAGGATGCTCCAGGACAAACTGGCCTCAACCATGAAAGTGGTCACTACACTGACAGGGCAGCTCAATGAACTCAAGGAACAGGTATGGCTTGTTTACGAAATACATTCATGGCCAAATATTTAAATCTTTTTGTGTGTGTGTGTGTGTGTGTGTGATGTTGTCTGGAGAAAAGATTATTTATTTTTTTATTATTATTAATTTTTTTATTTGTATTATTTATTTATTTATTTATTATTTTTTAATTTGTTTATTTCCTTTTTATTTGGAAAGAGCAAATATTAACAGATTACAGATTTCCAGTTAAAATATGATCTTTCCAATTTTGGTATATTAAAAAAAAAAAAAAATGGAAAGAAAAGCTAAACTATTTCCAAGAATAGGGGAGCTTACAGAAACAAACCTGCCATCAAAAATATTGTAGATAAGTTTAAGTACTTTTTAAGCTTAAGTCTTTTCATACAAAAACATAAGCTTAAAATAAACCATATACAGAAAGTCACACACAATAAAAAAGCGAGCCCTATCATTCTTAAACATCCTTAAAGAAATAAAATCCTTAAAAAATAAAGTAAAAATGTTGCAGGGTTTACAGTTTGATTAGTATTTCCACACACATATATACTTGCATATACAAACCATCATAAATATATCTACACGTACACTTAAATACATAAATATACATCTCTATATTCATATTTCATTCTATATTCTATATTCATATCTATATTTTTTCATTTTCCTTTTTTTTTTTTCTTTTTTGTTAGTAAATAGTCCTGATTCAATTTCTATCCGGGGCATTTCAAAGTTGAAAAAATGTCTATTCATATATTTAAAGGTGCACTGTGTAACTTTTTGGCTGGGAGTCCGTCGTGTTTTTATGGAAATATCATTATTCTGCTGTCATGTTCCACAGTGTGACATTAAGCAGCTCTACCTTACATTTATTAAACTACAGGTGGTTTTATAGCTCAAAAATACCTTGAAAAACAGACATTCTGACTGTGAGCGGGGTCGCCTCTCCACAGATCTGACCTGTAACTTGGTCTGGCTTGGTCTCCATGAAGATAAAAAGGTTTAATGCCACACTGTGAAACATTTGAGACAAAGCAATGGCATCTCCATGAAGAAAAACATATGACAGACCCTTCACCAGAAAAGTTACACAGTTCAAAAGTGTGTGGATTGTTTTTGTTTTTATATGAAAAATGTGTTTTTGTGTAGATGACGGAGCAGAGGAAGAGGAGGCAGAGGATGGGCTTTGTGGACGTACAGAACGGAGCCACACCTGGACCTCCGAGTGCTGCTGGAGGGAACCACCAGATCTACAAGACCTGAACCAGACCTGAGTCCAACAAGTCCTCAGTCCAGAACCACAGTACACATCTAAGCACAAATCCTGACTATGAGATACAAGTTTTCAGTAAAAAAAAAAAAAAAAACACATAAATACAAGTAAATGCAGCTAACCTGGTTCTAGGGTGACCACCTCAATTTGTAAAAAAAAAAAAAAAAAAAGAAAAAAAAAAAGAAAAAAAACTAGTTGGTGGAATATAATATAGAGGGACAGAAAATGTAACTCCTAGATAATAACTGTCTGCAATAATATTAATTGTAAGAACATAAGAGGCCAACATATAAAACCCAGAATACCAAGAAAACAAATATCATGTAAGGGTAACACTTTATATTAAGGTGCCATAGTAAATAGCAAACTAGTAATTACTTAACCGCGCAGCATAGTTAAGTCCTGGCTAAATTCGGTTTTAGACCTGGTTTGGACCTGGTTTAGACCTGGTTTAATCCTGATTTAGTCCTGGTTTTAGTTGTGGTTTAGTTCTGGTTTAGAGACGCGGTCCATGCGATCTACAGGAGGGGGGGACGGTTTGCACGGCATGGTTAAGTCCTGGATAAATCCTGTTTTAGTTCTGGTTTTAGACCTGGTTTAGACCTGGTTTAGGTCCACGCGGTGTACGGGAGAGGGGATGGTCCAAGTGGTGTATGGGGGGTGTATTTGTTTTACATTAATACACAAATTGATGAAGAAAGTATTAATTTGTGCCAAATAGATATTTTAGTAACAGTTAATAAATATTAACAAAGGGTGAGGTAATGATTAGTTTGCAGTTTATTATGGCACCTTATTATAAAGTGTTACCCATGTACGTATATATCTCACCTTTTATCTCACCTCATGGTTTTGCAGGGCAACAGAAAGTGGGACAGGTGGTCACCTTTGCCAGTTCACAGTTTAATCCTGGTTTTATCCTGGTTCACACCTGGTTTTATCATGATTTAGTCCTGGTTTAATCCTGGTTCACACTTACCTGACCAGCCAGAACCACATGCTTTGGCAAAATTTCACAAAGTCGAGTGGATCTGAAGCTGCATCCTGTCTCCACGATTTCAGAGGGTGTGATTGACAGGCAAGTTAACCAATCAGAGCGAGGCATGGCTGCGCGCACACAAAAAAGGAGAAAAAAATTACATAAAGGACTGAGAAACTGTATGGATTTTTACAGAATCAACAATCAAAACGAAGTTATAGGTTTTGATAAGAGAATTTTCGAGAGAGATGTGTGATACAAATTAGCGGCTGTGGTTGGACCGTCTCATGTTTGGTTTGAGTTTTTCACGCTCTGTGGTCTGGTTCTAGTCTTTTCTGGATTTGAACAGAATGTAGAAGGGACTGGCTGGTCAGACAAAGTTCTCACCCGGTTTTATCATGTTTAGTTTAGATCTGGTTTAGTCCAAGTTTCTCCACATTTCACTGCCGACAGTTGTTGGGGTTTTCTAAAGTTATTCATGTTTGAAGCACTTTTATAAAATATTTAATAAAGGTTTATTTATACTTAGGATAAAACAATACTTAAAAAGATTTTAACTGAAAACCTCTTGTACAAAACTGACACGGGTTTGTTTTCATTTGAATACTGATGAGTTATTATTATTTATGTTTTTATTGTTTGACTTTTGTTTTAGTTTGTGCATCTTCAGTCCAGTTTTAGCCCTGATGGATGAAAATACCATTTATTTGTAGTATAATTTTAGTGTGGGTTTGTTGGTGTAAAAGTAACTTGTAAATAAATAAATTATTAGATTAAATATTTTGTCCTTTTTTACATTTTTCTTTGATTAGATTTTAAAGGACTCATTTTCTGATCTACATTATATTTTGTCCTCATCACAAACAGACCTGGAGTTGTGTTTTGTTTCATTCACACATGTTTAGGCTGAGTTCTTCTCTGAAACAGGAAACTCTCTGTTCCACCTTGTGATATCATGTGGTAGTATAAGAAGTGCTCCACTGTGTTTTTAAACTCCACACACCTTCACTGAACTCATTTGGATAATTTCAGCCCCGGTATTGCCAATCTCTACCGAACAAAAGGTATAAAGAGCTGGTGGAACCGAGCATTTTTAGCTTTGGAGATGTAGACAGACTAATAATAAAGGGTTACTAGGGATGTAACATTAACCGAAATATCGTGATATCGTATCGTCAAAGTTCTCACAATAATATCATGGACCATCACAATATATCACAAGTATATATATCACATATATTACAAGTCTCTTTGCTTGAATTAAGAGTTATGGTGCAGCAAAAACTTAAAAAAAAAGACAGAGGGAACTACATAGACCATGATCCTTTGCTCCATTTCAGTGCAGACTACAAGAAGAAATAACAGTTCTAAACACTTTTAAGTCTTAGTTCTTTGGATTAAATCTTGTCACGGCATTTTAAGAGGAAAAAGTAGCATATTAGCCTCCACAAAATATCGCAGTAAATATCGTACCATGAGATGTATATCGTGAAAATATCACAGAGTGATTTGGATATCGTTACATCCTTAATTGTGAGCATCCCCACCATATTGGGAGCTTTCCCACAATATCGCAATAAATATCGTCCCGTGAGGTTCATACCGTGACAATATCGTATCATGAGATTTGGATATTGCTACACTCCTAGGGGTTACTGAAACATGTCTGAATAAAACAAAACACAACTCCAGGTCTGTTTTCAAGGAGGAAACAACATTATAACATGACGTAAAGCTCACAAAAGTCAAGTTTGCGTAATATAGGACCTTTAAAATGTCAACAACACAAGAGTAATTTTGTTAAATACCTGTTTTGCTACTAGACAGATTGAAGAACAGTCCACAAATAACTCAAATCTTTATTCACAAGTTTCCACAGGTTACATAACTGCACTGTCCTTAGTTTCACAGGTCCTGAATGGTTCATTTAAAGCTGCACTGTGTAACTTTTCTGGTGGAGGGTCCATCATCTGCTTGTCTCCATGAAGGTGGTGTTGTCTAGAATGTTCCACAATATTGCATCAGTTATTTATTATCTCCGTGGAGACAGAATAGGACATCGCAGGGCCAAGTTACATGTCAGATCTGTGGAGAGGCAAGTATACTCATAGTAAGAATGCAAGTTTTTAGGTCAATAACAACCCATGTTATTGAGTAAATGCAAGATGGATACTTTAATGCCATAATGGGACATTCCAGACAAAATTATAACATCTCCATGGAGACAAGCAGGTGGCAGACACTCCACCAGAAAAGGTACATAGTGCACCTTTAAACCTTGTGTTCTCCCATTGGTCCATCTCTATAGTCTGTGCTGCTCAGTCGATCCATTCTCTGTTGTGACTGGTCCATTAAGGTGTCCATATATGGGCATCCATCCTCCATCGATCTCTGTTCTGATTGGTTGAAAGTGCTGGGACCTGGTTACAGTTCATTTGGACACATTCAGTCTGGAATACTGAGAAATAATAACCACAAAAATAAAGTTTACATTCAACCACTGTCCGTTTGCATATCAGTCAGGGCCTTTCTCAAACAATCTTCCCAAAACTCTTCCACAGCGCTAAAAAGATAGTGACTTTTGAACTGAAATATTCAAGACACATAGCTGTTTGAATGAATTAATGAATTAACTATGTCACTGACAAAAGCTGGGTCTAAAACAGTACAAAATCCAAAATGACCTTGAGTAAGCCCAGAAAGAAAACAGATCCTCAGCCAGATATAAATGTTAAGTTGATGTACAAATGTGTGTAGAGAAGTGCAAAAAAATCATAAATTATTGTGTACAGTGACAGGTTTAGAATGGGATTTTTCCATATGAATAATAACAGATGTTTTGTTTAAAGCTGCACTATGTAACTTCTCGGTTGGGGGTCCATCACCTGCTTGTTTCTATGGAGATGTCATTGCTCTGCCTGGAAGTTGCCACAGTGTGACATTAAACACCTTTAATGTGCTGCACCCTGTGCAATCTAATTACAAAACTCACAAATCTTACTAAAATAAACCAGAAAAACGAACTTTTGGACAAAGCACTGTTGGCGATGCCCTCGAAGAGAAACGCGCAGATGGAGATGGACACTGAGGAGATTAAACGCGATGACCCAACAGCTGACCAAACTAACAGACCTCGTAAAAGAGATAAAGCAGTTGAAAGAATCCATTAGAGAAAAGGACAAAACGATCATGGAGCTTGAAAAGAGGATTGATGATTTGGAACAGTACACGAGAAAGAAAGATGTTATTATCACTGGTCTGAACATCACAACACCTCGCTCCTACGCCAGAACTGCAGTGGTCGGCAGAAATGTTGGGGAGGATGCGGAAACTGGCAATTTGCTAATTTTGGAGGGGCAAGTCATGCAGTTTCTGAAAGAGAGGAATATTCACCTGGACGCGAACAACATCTCTGCGTGCCACACTCTTCCGCGGAAGGACAAAACAAAACCTGCTATCATCCTTCGCCTTGTGAGTAGGAAACACAAAATAGAACTACTACGTCAAGGAAAAAAACAGGAATTCTGACTGTGAGTGGGGTTGCCTCTCCACAGATCTGACCTGTAACTTGCTCTGGTATGGTCTCCATGAAGATAAAGGTTTAATGCCACACTGTGAATCATTCCAGACAAAGCAATAACATCTCCACGTAGTAAAGCATTTGACGGACCCTCCACCAGAAAAGTACACGATGCAACTTTAAGTAAATGCAGATTATATTTTGCAAGTTGGATTTCTAAAACGCTTCCCCTATTGCACGCCTACTGGTTGGCAAAGTATAATTTAAAATCTATCGTCAAATTTCTGCAAAGGAAAAAAAAATACAGTTTTACATAGTATCATATTCAGAATAATCATTAACACTACATTTCCTGTAGTTTCTCAAATTAATGTTAATAAAATTGTAATTATAATATTTTGTTTCACCTCCTAAAATATCAAAGCAGAAATCAGATGACATTTTGAAGAATAAGTATAATAATTTTGATCGTATTTAGCTAAACAATTAATTTACAAAAAAGAAAAGGTATCTAGTGCCAACATCTCGTAAACTCTTTCTAACCTTCCACTTTGTTCAGTACCGTTTCACCAGTGCATTTCAGAACATTAAATACAGTACATTTCTCACAACATTTGGATGGGCTTTTTTCAAGAAATATAACAATGGTATATAATGATTAGTAGTAAACTTCAATAAAACAGAAAAGATATACACAAAATATCCATACAGAAATTCATTGTAATATATTATGCTCTTTGCTGTTTGGTTTGTTTTCTGAAAGTTCCTTCTGGTCCCAGAGGTGCAGCAGTGAAGTTCTGTAGAAAATGTTTTTAGAAAAGATCTGTACAAAACCTGTTGAAGGATTACAAACATGGGCTCCTCGGAAACAGAGGAGGAGATTTGCTGAAGGTCCAGGAGGGGGCGATGTTGGGGGCACATGGGGCAGCCTCAGCCTTTCCAGCCGTCCCAGATCGGGTTCCTGAAGAAAACATAAAACAGTAGTGACCTTTGTTCTCCTCTTACAATGTATGGAGCTGTAGATGATGTAGTTTGGGGAAAATCTGATCCAAAAGATGTGTATGCAAACTAAGAGTGTTTTTTATGATACACTTATGATACATTTACTGTATTTTATTTACTGATATATTTAAAGGCCTTATATTACACAAAATTGAGTTAGTCATGTTGTAATGTTGTTTCCTTATCACAAACATACCTCGAGTTGTAAAAATAACGATACTGGAGTGCTGCACTGGATCAAAACTTACACATGCAGGTGCTCATCAGACCAGAGGGCTTGAATTCTTGTTAAGTAGAAAAAAGGACGGCAGAGGCACTCTGTTTTGCAGTGTATTTATTAGTTGTCACGTCAACGTGTTTCGACTACTTAGTCTTCATCAGGGCTGATGGAGTGAGCAGCAGGTGTGATCATTTATAGGGGTCGTGACCCCAGACAATGATAATGAAAAACAAAATGTCCAAAAACACTATATACGTGTTGAATCCAAGTATATTGTCAGCATACCATTCATAACACAACAGATAAAAACACTGTCCTGTATAGGCTGGAGTATAGTCAACGATACATAGAATTGTTTTGTTTTTTGTTGTTTTAAACAATTTTTGAAGTGTGCTGTGCAACCTAAGGGATATACAGTATGTATCATTGACTATATTCCAGCCTATACAGGACAGTGTTTTTATCTGTTGTGTTATGAATGGTATGCTGACAATATACTTGGATTCAACACGTATATAGTGTTTTTGGATATTTTGTTTTTCATTATCATGTGTCTGGGGTCACGACCCCTATGAATGATCACACCTGCTGCTCACTCCATCAGCCCTGATGAAGACTAAGTAGTCGAAATGTGTTGACGTGACAACTAATAAATACACCTCAAATAACAGAGTGCCTCTGCTGTCCTTTTTTCTACTCATACCTCCAGTTGTGTTTTGTTTCATACACACATGTTTAACACACAAACCCTGCATACTAAGTCTGAGTTCTTCACCCAAATGAAAAACACTCTGCTCCACCTTGTGATGTCATACTGCAGTAGTTTTCAATTTAACCACTACCTTTTACCTTTAGCTCAGGAGAGACTGGCAAGTCCGAGGCTGAAATTATCCAAATGATTCTAGTGAAGATGTGTGGAGTCCTGTATTATCACATCACATCACAAGATGTTTTCAGTTTGAGAGAAGAATTCAAGTGTAAATCTGCAGGGTTTGTGAGTTAAACATGTATAAATGAAACAAACACAGCTCCAGGTCTGTTTTTGACGAGGAAACAACATTATAACATTGATCAGAATATAATGTAATAAGGGCGCTTTAAAAGTAGTTCTTAACAGTAAGAACTTATGCCTTGTGCCTTCTTGTATTAGCATAATGTAATGTGCAGTGTTTGGGGTGATTTGAAAGGGCCATTTTCTCACAGAGGTTTGTATGAAGGTCTCCGGACTTTGGACCATTTCTTGGGCCTCTCCACAGATCTGTCCGAGCTGTACCTGTACAAGTGTGAGCCACTGTTGTCCCGCCTCTCTACTGAAAACAAACACCAACTGGTTAATAAGAAAAGCTCATTTTTATTAATAAACTGTTCATGCATCAAGGATAGAAAAGAAACATACTAGTAAACAATACCATTAAAACGCTAAAACACATCACCTTATTTCCATCTATGCGCACATTACTTTTAGAGCTGATACTGATATATTTTAGTTACCTTATGAACCTAATTAGATGTATATAATTTTCTAGAGTTATGTAGAGATTTTATTATGGGCTCAATGAAAATTACATATGATAATATAATAAATATAATATAATGATTTTTTTTTTTTACAGATGTTTTATATAGATACATAGACAAATAGATATTAAACTGTACCTTGCTTGTCTACTTTGGGGTTGCATTGTTTGTGTCCTTTACACGCTCGCAGCTCCATCAGCTGAACGTGGAGCTGGTTTAAAACACTTCTGTCCAGAGATGACACCGAGTTTATCAACTACAACAAAGACAACAAAAAATGTAAAGTTAAGAAATCCACTACAAGGGAGTTTATCTTTTGTCCCTGAGATTAAAGCAAATACAAAAGCAGAGGAACAAAATCAGGTTAGTGACTGAACCTTAAAGTGCATATGACAGATTTTTTTAATGTAAATTGTAGTTTTGCACAAATCAAGAAGCAATTTGCAAAAGAAAAATTGTTGAAAATTACAGGAAATATAGAGTTCTAAAACATGCTGATGACTCACACTGGGGAAAATTCTGTCTGAAAGTTCTGCACAATTTACAGGCAACAAACAAATTTTTCTGATACTTTAAACATTATTTAAACAAAATAAAGGTGTTTTCTTATATTTCTGTTGTCTGATAATAATTTATGTGTCCATTACAGTTTTTGTGGAAATCCCTTGTGTGATGTCAACATTTACAAATGAAAAAGTAACATTTTAACCTAAAAAATGGCCAAAGTGGGAAAACAAGTGTGAATATTTTTTTTTCAGAAAGCTTAAATATATTGATCTTAACAGTGTTTTAGCAAAATGAGTCCAACTTGTCAGATGTGGGTTAAACTAAAGTAATGCACAAGTACCTGGTAGGGGTCAGTAGTGAGATCGAAGTACTCCAAAAAGCCAGTGGCAAATTCACAGAAGAGGAAGTTGTGAGTTTGGTTGATGGTTCGAAGACACCAGTACGTGTTGTTGTTTGCACTGGTGCAGGCACAGAACGGACCCACTGGAAAAAGGAAACATTTTATATGCTTATTTAAAGGTCCACTGTGTAACATTTCTAGTGGAGGGTCCGCCGCCTGCTTGTCTCCATGGAAATGTTTTTGCTTTGTCTAGAATATTCCACAGTATAGATTAAACCTGTCTATCGTGAGGGAGCAGGTTACAGCACTACACGATGTCCAAAAGCTTTTTTAAAATTTTTAAGCATTTTGGTAAAAAAAAGGCTTCGTCAGATATTTTTCTTGCTTCAGACCACAGTATATTTTATTTTAAAATGAAAAAAAAAGCTTTTATACATCGGCCATCTGAGTGTGCTTTGCAATTTTTCACTTTTATTTTGCTGTTCCTTGCATTTGCAGCTCTAGAACTTTGAACTTTGGTGTGCGTTTTCTGTTTCACTTGATATGTTTAATGGCATATCATGAAACACTGAAACATGAAAAGCAATATCATTTCCATGGAGACAAGTAGGTAGCAGACTCTCCACCAGAAAAGTTTGTGTGAGTATGTGTGTTTTTTTCACAGTAAATGTTTCGATTTATACTTATTTTACAGCATTTTAGTTGGGATGAGTTTGCTGCGTACATGTGTATATAGTATTGTCTTGTAGTGTCTTGTCTTATATATATAAATAAATTGCAGTATTTGTACTACATACGTGTCCAGCTGGGAGGCGTGGCCCAGTGCTCATTGTCGTGGGTAAAACAGGTGAGTCCGGGCATTGAACACGTGTCATTGTTTTTGATTCGTTTGATCATTTTCCTAAGTTTCTTCCTTCGTCTCTGCTCCTTCTCGAGCCACGCCCACTTTCCTTTAGACACACCCCTTCTGTGGAAAGGAATAGTTAAAGTTTATTTATTTATTATTTTTAACAGAAGTTTCCTTTATCTAAATGATCTCAACTATAGTTTTAGGATCACTTTACTGGAAAAAGGAAGTTCCCCTTTCTGTTTTCGTATTAATCATGTTTCCTTCCTTCCAACACAGTTAGAAATAAAATGTAAAAACTAAATGATTAAGCAAAAAATAAGGAATGCACAATTTTAAATCCAAAATTCAGACCTGAAAGGGTGAAGCTTATTCTTCAACTTTTTCTTCAGTTTCAACTTAGACCTGAAACATGTTCATTGTTAATCGGAGTAAAAAATGAACAGTTATCATTATAGTGGTGAAGAAGTGAACTCACAGTTGTTTGATTGACAGGTGCCGTTTGCAGTCACACTTGACGGGACGGGCCTTCTTCAGGTGACCTCTGACCTCTCGCAGGTTCTTGATCTTGGTCTGAAGAGTCTCAATCTGAAACAAGATGCACATAAACCTGCTAATTACTAATGTCAAAAAATCTGTATTCTATAACGAAATGAAAGGTTGGGATGAGAGTTTTTGAGGTGATTTCGTCAGGTTACCTGGTGGTCCACGGTGAGTTTGTGGTCCTTCCACTCCTGCAGGTTCCTGTAGAGTCTGGAGTCACAGCTCACAGAGGAGTTGGACAGAATCACACACCTGAGAGAAACAAGTGAGATCAAGGCTCCATTCACAAGTGACACCCTCTCCTCTGTATTCTCTCACACCACCCAATGCCATGGTCTATTTAAAGGTGCACAATGGTTTTTTTTTGGAGGGTCCGCTAGCTGCTTGTGTCCATAGAGATGTTACTGATGTTATTCAATTTGTCACTTTATGGCATTAAAGGTCAGATATTACACGATATGGATTTTCATAATTTTGAAGTCATTTTATAATGTTACTAGAGCCTTGCAATATGGCGCACTGTTTTACGTCGCACGGGACCCAAGGCAGGACACATTTTGAAAGCTCATTGCGAGCGCAGGTGGGAGCGGGACTGCACAGGTGGGATGATAAACTGCAGTCCCGCAAACTAAATATGAGTATAAAGTAAAATATACAAATAATGAATGTATGCCTATCATACATAATTTGTGCTGGATATTTGACTTGGTATTAATAAACAGCCTAAACATGCAGATGTGGTCTAATCTAATGCACATTTTAGACAATTCCATTCTGCTTCTCTGTGTTTAATAGACCTTAAGAAAGTGAACGTCCCCATCCTGCGGAATTTGCGAGTGGGAGCGGGAAAAAATATCACAGATGCGGGTGGGAGCGGGACTGAAAATTACAATTCTTTGAGGGCACGGGAGGGAGTGGGACTGCACAATGCGGGTGCGGGTGGGAGCAGGACTGAACATTCTGTCCCGTGCAGACCTGTAGTTGTTACCTCCTCAAAAACATACCCAGTGTTGTGTTTTATTTCATTCACACATGTTTGAGTAATCCTGGTCTGCAGGACTCTGTCTACATCTCAAAAGCTCAAAACACTCTGTTCCACCTTGTGATGTCATGAAGTGGTAGTTTTCAAGTTAACAGCTACCTTTGACCTGTAGTTCAGTAGAGACTGGCAATTCCAGGTTTTAAATTATTAAAATGATGAAGTGAAAATACATAGTGCACATTTAATTATATCTATGTATAATTGTCATTGTCATGATTTAGTCCTGGTCTAGTCCTGGTCTAGTCCTGGTCTAGTCCTGGTCTAGTCCTGAAGAGACCTCACCTTTGCGTAACCTTCACAGCATCCTCAGGAGGCGGGCCAGATCCGCTTATCTCGTCCTCTCTGTCTGATTCGGTCCATGCCCCCTCACCCATTGACGCCCCCCAGCTGCTGTTACCACGGAGACCATCGCCCTGGGGAAAGATGTGGTCACCGTGGAGACCGTCGTCAGGTAGAGAGTTGCTGATCGAGCGGCTGAAGCGGATTCTGGAGAAACTTTTAAGGGACTTCAGCTCTGTTCACAACACAAAAAGGAATAAAGATATGGAGAGATCGATAAAGATAAAGTCTAAAAATCTTAAAGGTTTTGTATGATGCAAAATTGAGTTTTAAGCCGTGTTATAATGTTATTATCTCATCAAAAACATACCTGGAGTATTGTTTCATTCACACATGTTTGAGTAACCTTTTATTATTATTCTAACATTTCCAAAGCTCTTTTTTTAGTAGAGATGGGCAATTCCAAACCTGAAGTTATTAAAAATGATTCTGTTGAAGGTGCATGTAATTTAAAAGCAAAGCACAGCAAAGTGTGTCTAGATTTACCCCATGACATCACTAAGGTGGAGTATTTTCCATTTGAGAGAAGGCTTTTTATGTGAATGAAACAAAACACAACTCATGGCATAGTTTTGATGAGTAAACAACAGTATAACATCAGAAAATGGCATCACATGGGCCCTTTAGTGAAATAGTTAGAGTGAATATGGTCAGAATGGTCAAATCTTACTCTTTTTAAAGAAGGGTTTGTTGAATGACTTTTTCATCTTGGATTTTGCAAAAGGCAAGGGTCGGAGGTCACAGCTGCAGTCCTCATCAAGGTTGTAACGCTGGGCCTTGATGCTGATTGGACGGTTCTTGGAGAAAATGTCCTTTGCGCCGCCTCCTTCAGTTTTACACTTAAACAAGCGCAACTTCCCATTAGGGTCCTCCACACACTGCCACTTCTGCAAAACAGATCAGAATAAAACATTTCCTGTCTCTCAATGAAACTAGGACTGTTTGCAATTTATAGGCAAAGGTGTAGGGCTATAATTTTTGTATGTGGAATGTACCTATACTCTCTAAGACTTGTCTAGCAGTAATCTCTGTTCATAACATTTTTATTGAGTCAAAAGCTGTTTACAACTTAACCTGTAAATCTCACAGAACTGAAAACAAACATATTAACACCTTGCAGAGGTACATGTATCTGAAATTAATGAGGAGTTGTTTCTCACATACAGTGTAACAAATCTATAAGGGGTTAATCTCTGCCATAATATCCATGCTTAGATCCTTTATACACTTCCATAATGTTCCATTCCTGCATTCAGATGGAGCCGGATCTGATTTCTAAGACATGATCTTATCTGAGTAGAGAGTTTACTGTATTAACATAAAAACTGGCATAGACATACCAAACTGGATCAATGTCTTATCGAGTTAGACTAAAACAACTAGACTTACTTATCTTTTTGAAGCTGACGTTTTGCTACCAACCAGATACTTTCATCAGCGCTGTAAGTCCAGTTGTTTTAGTTTAACTTGTTTTAGTTTATCTTATCCCTGGAGATCTCAGAATTAGATCACGGTAAATCTTTCAGTAACATAAATATATCCTACATGTACCTAAACTGGTATGTCCTTTAACATCTGTCCAGGGATTACAAAGTAAATACTCTTCAAGTACAAATAAACAAGACCGTTAAGTTTACACAATAAATACACTTAATGTTATGTGATGTAATACACTTTTTTTTATTGTGGTGTGGTACCAAAGATTCACCTGTCAGCCACAGATGTACATAGACTCACCTGTCCAGAGGAGGAGCAGGGCAGGTGCAGCTCCTGACGATCACATAGCTCTCTCATTCGCTGCTGTTTGGGCAGAGAGTTTTCCTCAGACTTCTCCTGTTTGTCATTCAATAAACCAGGGAGCAACTTCCTGAACAACAGAGACGAGAAAACAACCAATGAGTTTACTAAAACGTCATAAGAGTTAGACCATAGACTGTATATATGTGTATATATCAAGTTTATTATACAGTCTATGGCAGGGGTCTCCAACCTGTAGCTCTCCACCCCCTTCCAAGTAGCTCACCATGGGATTTCTGAATTACATGTACTGTGCTGAATAAGTAAAATTGCATTAATTGCAACTGTAAATGTATAATCTTGATGCCTAACTAACTAAATAAATGCATAATGGTTTGTGGTTAATAGATGTCTAACTGTACTCTATCTAAGGCTTGCTGAGGGGCTTAAATGTACTAAATTTCTTGCAAGCACTAAAATGAGTAGCTCTCTGGCATTTTTGTGTGGAAAAAGTAGCTCACCAGAGGAAAAAGGTTGGACACCCCGGCCTATGGGTTAGATACAGTGAGCACCAGAGACAGAGACTCTAATTAGGATTTTGTAGTAATATAATTTATTACTATTGCATAAAATAATGAGGTGCTGTAAGAATATTGCTTAAAAGGTCCTATATTACACAAAATTTACTCTGAACTTTAAGTCATGTTATAAAGTTGTTACCCCTCAAAAACAAACCTGGAGTTGTGTTTTGTTTCATTCACACATGTTTGAGTAATCCTTTATTATTATAGTCTGTCTATATCTACAAAGCTCAAATGCCCTTTTCCCATTTGTGTTTCCCATTTGAGAGAAGAACTAAAACACAACTCCAGGTATGTTTTGATGAGGAAGCAAAATTATAACAGAGATCAGAGAATAGTGCAATGTGGACACAAATCAGTAAAAAACAAAGATGCATATGAGTTAATGAGCAGTGGGAGTGTTTGTCTAAAGATGTTAAAATATCCAAATGAGTGTTAATGTGGTAATTCGTTGATATTGCAGCTCATGGCTTTTGTTATTTTGTTCTGTTCATTTTTAATACATTGAAAAATGTTGAAAAATGAAAATGTCATATTTGAATTACATGGGGAAAAACAGAATCAGTCCTGGTTCAGCTCTTACCCTCTCTCCACTAAGAATGAGTCTCTCCAGTTCACAGATTTCTTGTTCAAATGAAACCTGGGACACACAGAAACAGACATTTACAGGTACACAAAGCTGCTCATCTCTGTAACTGAGAAATCAGACACGGTACTACTCGCATCTTTTATTAGTGTGTCATATGTACATGTATGAAAGTCTATGAGTATGATGTTCTGAGTACACAGAAAATATACAAGAAAGCTTACTTTGCTCTGCTGGTAAGTGACCAGGTTTTCCAATGTTATTTTACAGTACAAATGGTAAATTAACTAAATCGAGCCTGTTCCCTCGTGTATCTGTGAAGACCATTGAGTTACCTGTTCCCTGGGGAGCCTATGTCCAGCAGCCCCAGCACAGACTTCCCGTCCATGTCCGATGGAGGGTCCAGTCCAGCTATGTCCAGGATGGTGGGAGCCAAGTCAATGTTTAGGACAATCTCTGGAATGCTAGTCAAACAAAACATATCATGGAAACTCTGTAGCTTTTACATAATTATTATTCATCATCATTTGAAGGTGCACTGTGTAAATTTCCTGGAGGAGGGTCTGTAACCTGATTCATGGAGATGTTATTGCTTTGCCTGCAATGTTCCAAAGTATGGCATTAAACATATCCATATCCATAGAAACGAGAAAGAGATTTGCAAGCGAGATTTGTAAAGAGGAGACCCCACTCACATGTCAGAGAGCATGTTTTATTTTTTTCATGTTTTTTGCATCACAGGCAAAGCAAAAGCATCTCCATGGTGGCAAACCCCCATCCTGAAAAGTTACACAGTGCACCTTTAACTCTATTCTACTTTGGCCTGATCCTGTCTCTTTAAATCCTCCAGTTGACATTAATAATTGTATAAATGTGGAACCAGTGAACCAACACTAATCCTCTTTGTTCTGCAGCTAAATACAAAGCATAGACATATCAACATAAACAATAAAACACATAAACTAGAACTTAACCTTAAATTAGGACTACATCCAGACTAAACCAGGGCTTAACTCTTATTCAGGACTAAACCCGGCCTCACCTGTGTCCCTGTTGTATGTTGGGCCCTCTGATGAAAAAGGGAACTCTGATGTCAAACTCATACGGCATCGATTTACCTACAAACAAAAACAGTGGGAATATAATCAATCAATCTCTGTTAAATTCTGTTAACTTCACTTTTTTGGTTTAAGTTTTGAAGTCTCTGGTTTTAAACCAATCAGGGGCAGAGAGCCTGATCTGACCAAGAAGAGTATCGGTACCTAAATGAACCACAAACCCAATCTGTATTTTTACCTTTACTATTAAGTACAACTATGCTGAAAAAGATAACAGTGAGTAAACAGTACAAATACAGCGTCACTATGAATGTAGTGCAGCGTTATCCTTTTTTTTTTTCTGTGCTTCAAATGTTCCATCTCATTTTTCTGAGTTATTTATATCAGGATTAACCTCTGCTCCAAGACTTTAATCCTGTGAAACAGAGCAGAACTGTTTCATCAGAAAAAAAAAAACTGCTAACACTAAAACTACAGAGCTGGAGAAGGGGACAGGGGCAGAGCCAGAAGGGCAGAGCCAGAAGGGCAGAGCCAGAAGGGCAGAGCCAGAAGGGCAGAGCCAGAAGGGCAGGCAGGAGCAGACAGGAGCAGAGCCAGAGGAGCAGACAGGAGCAGACAGGAGCAGATAGGAGCAAAACCAGAGGACCAGACAGGAGCAGTTCTGAAAAACAACGAGGTTAAGATGTTCTAAACCCACTGACCTTTCACGAGTCCAAACTGTCCGATGTGGTACCCGTGGTCTGATGTATAGATTATATAAGTGTTATCAAGCTCTCCAGTGTCCACCAGCATCTCATACAACTGTGAGAGAGATCAGTGAGAACACAATACTGTAATCCAGAGGAACGATATTTACAATAACTACTAAATTAACTATTGTTCAATATATGAAAACTGGAGCTTCAGTATTTATCATGTGAACAATTTCCTTGCAAAAGTTGGGAGAAGCTTAACCTGCTTGTCTCTATCGTGATAGATACATACAATCTTTACTGTGGAACATTCTAGACAGAGCAATAACATTTCCATGGAGACAAGCTGGTAGCTGAATCTCCACTAGAAATGTTACACAGAGCACCTTAAATGATACCGTATGTTTAAAAATAGGTTTACTGGGATTGTCCTGCTATGTGTCAGTGGCATAAAGTAGTTTCAATTTTATTTTCTCAATATTTCTCTCTAGATACAGAATACATCATGCGTCAAAATCTCCTATTGTTGACAGGCCTAACACTCGTCTGTCTCCTGACCTGCTCCATGCTTTGGTCCACCGATTGAAGTGTCTGCAGGCGTTTCCTCTGGAGGACGTTAGTGAACTCCATGTGGATGGGCTTCATGGCTCCGGTGTACCTCATGATCCAGTGTTTGTCCGGGTTTGGGGCGAAGTTATAGCTCGGTGTTCTGTTAGGAAAAACAGACAAAGTTAAAGGTCTGTAGAGTTCAGAGGTTGTTGTTTTGTTTGAAGTAGATGGACCAACTGTGAGTTTGAGGGTACGTCTTAGCTTTTTGCTTTTGGTACAGTGTGAGTCCTAATGAAGATTTGGTTTGGTCAGGTTTTACTTAAAGTTTAGTCCCAGTTTAATGTGGTGATTTTGCAAATGAGACCATGGTAAGTAGCAAAAAAAACCTCCTGGAAACTTTTGTGTTTTCTTCTAAAAAGACTAATGTAGCTGTTAAACACTCGGCAGTAGCACTTCTGCCTTTGTCAGAAGTGACTCTTATCAGCTGTTGTGCCCAGGCATGGTCAGTTTGACAGATCAGGTCAAATCCGTCAGACGGACTACGCTTCTGTCGCGTGGTGGTGTCTGGTGAGTCCCATGTGTGAGCAGGAGTAAACGCCCCCTCGTCTCTGCTGATGGTCCGTGCTGCCCACTTCCTGACTTCAATAGCCTCTCATATCTGTTTTTTGTATTTGTGCTCCTCTGTTCTTATACTATTTTGGCCCTGTCCCAATCCATGCCATGGTTTTCCCTTTTACAGTGGTCAGATAATGTTCAGACAGTGGTCAGAGCACCTCTAACGAAGGCCGAAGTGCTGCCACCAAAACATGCCAGGTAAATAAGTGATTTAGCTTTTAACAACTTGTCATATTTGAAGAAAATACAAAGTTTCTGTGTGAAAAAAGACAACATGTATTTTCTAAATATAAAAAAGGCCTGGTTTGGTTGCCATTACAACAAGTTGAGACCTTGTTAAGACCTCGTTATTCCTGCTTTAGTCCTGCTTAAACCCTGCTTTAGACCCATTTCAGTCCTTGTTTTCAGTTTTCTTTTGTAGTCCTAATTCAGACTCACATGTGCTGGGAGGCGTTGGGAAAGAGGGTACTAAACTGGGGAGCAGAATCTTCGGGTCCGTGGGGCGCGGCGTGGCTCAGAACCATCAGAACCGGTCGGTGAGGGTAGATCCGCTTCGAGGCCCGGAAAAACCTCTGTGCTTCCAAGGTGATCACATCTGTCAGGTAATCCTACAGAACATCAGTAAGATCAGAAATCCAACCCACAACCTCTAAAAATGAGAAGCCACGGGGATAAAGTGGGTCTGGTACTGACCTGTGGGTAGCGGTCCCTGTGCTCTCTCCGGGCTCCATTGACATTTAGGGTGTAGTTATAGAAGCGACTGTTCTTCACAAGACCAACCCAGTGTCTCCAACCACGAGGGATGTATGAGCCATTATACTCATTCAGGTATTTACCGAAATATGCTGAAAATAAACAAACCAAAGCTAAAAAGTATGAACTCCAAATATATGTGAAAGTAAGGCTCACATTTGTAATCGTCAATGATATTTTTAGATCTTTTTAACAACCAATCCCTGTCTGAAAATTGAAAGCATGTGGTTTAAATAATGTCAAAAGTCTGTATTATTTATTTTCAGAAACCTAACATAGTAAGCAATAGGGCTGAATGATCTATTGTTTTGGACCTAAAATCGCAATCTCCAACAACACGATTTTGGGAGCGTCAAAGCCGTGTTTTTTTCGCAGAACTCCTAACTGACCCAGGTTTTGTTTCGTCAACTATTTCACACATGTATGCATCATCAACATCCCTCTGTCACAGAAAGAACACCAAAATTCCACTGAGTCTTGTCCTTTAGTCCGCATCAGTGCACAAGGAGTAAGCTGTTTTTTCAGCACTTAAACAAAGGAGCCATGTGGTTTTAAGTTTTGTTTCTGTAAAATGTAAACAAATGTGTCAAAGCTGCATTAAACATATTATAATGTCAAACAGGCTGATGTGGCTCTGTAGGGGTTATAGTTTATAAGTTGTAAAGTTGAGTTTATTTATGTAGATTAGTAATAGTAATAACAATGATGATACTTTTAATATAAAACACTAATGATTAATGATTACTGGTTTAGAAGTGGTTCAGTCCAGGTTCAGTCCTGGTTAAGTTCTGGTTCAGTTCTGGTTCAGTTCTGGTTTAGTCCTGGTTTAGACCTGGTTTAGACCTGGTTCAGTCTTGGTTCAGTCTTGGTTCAGTCCTGGTTTAGCCTTGGTTCAGTTCTGGTTCAGTTCTGGTTCAGTCCTGGTTCAGTTCTGGTTCAGTTCTGGTTTAGTCCTGGTTTAGTCCTGGTTTAGATCTGGTTTTGTCCTGGTTTAGTAATGGTTCAGTTCTGGTTCAGTTTGTATGCGGTGCAAAAATCCGGCATCTCGATCAATGTTTCTTCTGCTCAATAAATAATGCCTGTGAAGTGATGACAGATTTTTGACAGTAAAGTTGCATCCGGTGCAGGACTCTGGTAAGATGTCAGTGTAACTGTGATGTTTGCAAATGTTCATGTGGACTGAAACTTGATTTTTTTAAAAATCATGGATGAAATCAAAATCACAATGTCTGCCAGAAAAAGTTTTCTCTTAAAATCGTTCAGCCCTAGTAAGCAATGTTACTTGTTTCTATCTAAAACAAAATTAAATTGAAAATTGTGATCCAAATGTTCAAACTTATGATGTTGATAGGTTTTTCGCCCAACCCTACAGGAAAGTACAATCTCTCTGTTCTGCTTCATCAGCCTCCACATAAAAGTACCTGTCCTGTATCCGGTGTTGTTGAGGTGTACGGCAAAGGTCTTTGGCTCGTGCTGCCGCTGCCAGGAGGGAGAGGAGCAGTTCTCATTGTTTGTGTAGGTGTTGTGATTGTGAACGTATCTGAGCAAAGACAGAAGCAGAAGAAAGTGAGTCAGTGGAAAGTTTGGACAGATTTGAACGAGGTTTAAATGCGTCTACTGCTGTCACGATCAAACTCAAACTCAATTTTGATACTAAAGAAGAGGTACAATACTATATCAAATATCATAACAATGTATTGATACTTTACAGCTCTGCTCTTTTAAAACATCAAACACCTAAACAGGAATGTGAACGCTTGTATTGATCACAGGCTCTTGTCTTGAAAATTAGTAATTTAAATCCATTTTGTTTATTTATTTTGTTTTGTCTTTGTTTGCTAATGTGTGCATTGTGTCACCATGTTTACTGCTGAACATTCCACCAATAGAAATGCATGTAGAACACCCCCAGCACAATAAGTAAGTAAGTCTTTATTTATATAGCACTTTTCACAGACAATATCATAATAATAAACATATTTTTGACAATAGAATGGAATTTTCAACACTAAATAACAGGGATGTAATGATATCCAAATCTCTCAATACAAAATTCTCACGATATGCTTCTCACGGTACGATATTTATGCTACTTTTTTCTCTCATCACAAACCAAATAATTATGATTTAAAAGTGCTTCATAAGTTATTTCAGCATGTGGATTGGACTGAAACAGAGCTAAGGATCATGGTCTATGTATTTTTTTAGCTGTTTTAGCTGCACCAAAACAATGAATTGAGATTCGATATATTGTGACGGCCTACGATATTATTGTGAGACTTTTGACGATACAATATCACAATATTTACATTATTTTGACATCCCTACTAAATAATTGTAGTATTAAAGTATTACCATGTGTCGAGTGCTGATATAAAAGAAGAAAACCATTGTAAAACTATTAAGTAAAGGTTAATTTTTGTATCTGTGTTTTTTTTTTATTCAAATGGATATTTAGATTTGATACTAGCATCAGTATTGATTAATATCTGGTACTTTTGCTACAGCCCTAAATGAGACTTCCAAATTAGTCTTATTCTTTGTAACTTTTTTATTTCACAGTGTCATTATGTTTACTGTAATGATTGTGGTTTTTAATGTCTCATGGTGCACTTTGAGCTTTTTGCACATGATTTTCCAGTGTGGTTTTAAACTATAAATGGCAAATAAACTGGCCTAACCTGGAAAAAACCTAACCTAGTCATAAATCATAATAATTATACTGGTCCTTACTTCCCGGTTAGCATGCTGGACCTTGACGGACAGCACATGGGCGTGGTTACGAAAGCGTTTGTGAAGGAAGTCCCGCCCTCCTCCATGATTCTACGAGTTTTATTCATCACCTGCATGGAACCTGGATACAAAAACAGAAAAAAATCTCTTTTATTGGTGATGCAGCTGGGAAATATATTATGTGTAATAAGGAATGATGACAAGTATCTGACAAAAATTAATTCTAGCTGCATCTAAGAAGAGTATTTCAATAAAGAATCATGTATAATCATTTAAATGTGTAAAAATTGTGAGTATAAATATGAGAAGCAATGGGAAAAGTGGAATGCATTCTTAAAAGACATGTAAACTAAAATAGTACTTTAAGTCAAGGGAGTTGAAAGGGGAGACAAAGGGGTTGTCCCGGGCCCCAGAGTCTTAGGGGCCCAGAATTGAACCCTCATCTGATTAATTAGTTAGAGAGGGGCCCATGTGAGATTTCTTATGCTGGGCCCCCAAATTTCTGTCGACAGGCCTGCTTTAAAGTGTAACAAACAGCATGTATGAATAAGAACCTGTAACTTCAGACTTTTGACTTTTGTATACTTTTTGTTTGTTTCTAAAAATCAATAAAAAATAAAGTTTAAAAAAAAAATCTCTTGTATTAGACGGTGTTTTAATTTAATAGTTAAATAAAGACACAGACCAAGCTCGAGGTCTTGGTCGTCGGTCAGAACCAGGATAATGTTGGGCCTGATGTTTCGCCGGTCTCTGTGGAGGCGTGGCTTCAGACCGGCTGTCATGGAAACCAGCAACAGGAAGTGGATCAGCGTTGCCGCGGAGACGGACAGAAAGAGGAGGAGCCGGGCCATGATCACTGACCCCTCCCCTTTAGGTCACCCCGAGAACCAAAGTCAAGTCACAATCTGCAACAAACATTTAATACATTATACAAATCATTCAGGCTCCTGTAAAGCGTAAACTGAAACACTGCCCCCTACTGACCAGTATCAGCACATAATATAGAATAACATCAACTATACAACATGGACTAAGGGAGTGTGTGTGAGTATATCGTTCAGCTTCAGTCAAATGATACTCACGGGGCTTCAGTTATAGGACCAAATGTGGTGCCAGGTCCACATTATGAATAGCAATTTATTCATGCACAAAATAGTGAAATAAAAACACCAGGATGTACAGTGGCTTAATACCAATGAACTATAATAAAATCTGGAGGATTAATCAAAGATGGCGCAGTATTGTTTTCAGTGGCCTGTGCTCAATGGTGCATGGGCCCAAAAAAAAAAAAAAGGTTCACTTTTGCATTTACTTCCTCAGTACAGGCAAGTGCCTCCCACCTGTGTGACATCTGTAATGTGCACAGCGTGGAGCGTTTGGACCAATCAGAGTGACAGCTGCAAGATCAGAGCTTTTTTTGATTGATTTATTTATTTCGGTCACAGGCATATTTTGACATTAATTCACAGACAGTCATATTTAACATAGACAGACCGAAAAGGTGCAGGCTGAAGCTTAAGCTTATTATGCCTTTATTCCTTTGTCAGAGCAACATCTTGATACCAGTTCATCTTCATACATACAGCAAGAGGAAACAAACAAATCAGTAACAGTACAACAAAGTACTACAGCACAAACTAAGTATCATATTTCATGTATCTGTCCAGAGTTAAACATTTAAACTTCTTTATAAAGTGAAAGAGACTGGTGCGACGCTAGTGTGGCCTCAGAGTGGGATGAGGCTAACTCTTACAAAGCAAAATTTTAGGTGCTTTGAGGATTAAAATTTTTTTTTTAAGTTTATGTTGTGAAAATAGAAAAGAATCCCTAAAAAATCCAACCTTTGTGAAAGTTGTTGATGCCCTGTCAGCCAAACACGGGCAGTTTGAATTCCCCAAAAATTAATTGTGCTTCTATGTTAGAATTCTTTCTGGGCCCAAGCTCCCGGGAGCTGCAGTACCTGGAGCGGCCACTAGTCGGTCTCGAGCCGGGAAAGAGAGGGAATGTCTTATCCGGTTTTTATTATAGATCCATGGTTAATACAAATGTTTTAAGATGGAAATGATGAAGCTCGCTGCAGCAGTTACAGAGAGAAGTGTGACAATTTTTCAGTGTAAAGTCAACTGGAACCAGGGTTCATGGAGCCGGAGGTGCCCCCATGCTCACTTCCTATTTGCAGCGCAGCGGATAGTGAGTTAGATATGTCCATTTATACAATATATACAATCTATGCTTTAAAAATACTGAAGAAAACCCCCACACATGGACCATGCCAACTCAAACCAACGTGCTTTATGTTTTTTCTAGCATTGTTCATCTTATGAGTGCCAATGAGAGAGTTCCTTTATACAGTGTTTACTCTGAGATCGTCATAAAAATATGCAATGTAAATGAGCCATTCTTGACTTATGCAAATGTTTTTTGAGGACAGTAGATCATTTAGCCTTGACAGAGCTACTGCAACCTATTCATTTATGATGTAAAGACAAGAATTCAAGAATTTTAACCCATTAGGGGGAGTGTCTTTTGCTCTAACTTATGCCACCCACAGTCCTGAAATCAACACTGAAGCATAAAGGTGAGAGTAGTTTTTAATTAGATTAGCCTTTTTTTATTTTAAGGTGCTATGAGAACTGGGTGTGAATGATGATACGGAATTTTTATGATGGTCTTTTTATGATGGTCTGGTCATTGTAAAGACATTTTGTATGTAATTTTATGAACTATAACATTGTCAGCCTTTCCAGGAACTACGGGTGGAAATTTGCATTAGTGCTACAACCTGGTACAATGCATCTTTTATGTTAAGGATGTTAAGGTTAAAGTATATTGTGCACTGTCCCTGACTCATTAAATAAACTAAATAAACTAAACTAAACTAAACTTTAAATCTCTGAATCTTTGTCTGTAGAGATTTGAAAATGACGTCAGGCTGCAGTTAATCTGATCTGCCCTGAAGACACTGGCTTCTATTTTGGTCTAAATATAATATTAGACATTAAATAGTTTTCAGTAATATAATCTAGACCAAACTCTTTGTAAGACCTGTCACTATAAATACCTGATCAATTTATTGTTCAATATATGAAAGATGGAAGAATAATTTTTGTGGGTCAATATTTTGAGAAGATTTGAGCTATAAAATGATGAATTATGAACTAAAACTATACAGTTTAATTGCTTAAGTGTTGCATTCTGAGAGTTGGGGACTTGCAAGCTGTGAGATGGACTCGAGTCAGATTTGAGTCACTATTTTTAGGACTTGAGGCTTGACTTGATAAAATGGATAAAAAAAAGACCTGGGACCAGACTTGGACTTGAAGGTCAATGACTTTGGACTTGACTCAGACTTGAGCCCTGTGTCTTGAGCAGACTTGATGCTTAGACTGGTTAACAAAATAACTGTTATTAAGCACTCTTAAATCTTAACTCTTTCTCTTCTGACCGTAATGATTCAAACTCTTGTCAAGACATTTAAAAAGGAAAAATTAGCATTTCTACAACTCTTATATAAATACTCATATACCATGACTTTTTAAGTAAAATTTAGATAAAAATTATATAAATTGCAAAAATCTAATCTATATTTGGTACTTTGGTTTAAAGACTTAAAATGACTTGAAGCTCAAAGCAGACGACTTGGACTTGACTTGAATTTATGGGCCAGTGACTCGAGACTCAACTTGGACTTGCCTGTATTTGACTTGGGACTTGACTCGGACTTGAGATCAAAGACTTGAGACTTACTTGAGACTTGCAAAATAATGACTTAGTTCCATCTCTGCATTCTACTATTTATTTTTTGCAGCTCATGCTTTTGAACAATATTGCACATTTAGAATTTTTTTCTGGATTATTCTGTTTTATTTTTAGTTTCAATATTATTGTTTATCACCTATATTTACTTCAGCTACATATCACACTTCAAATTTTGTTTTCTTGACAGATGTGCTCTTTCTAACCGCACTCTCCGTCAATAGAGTTTCACATTTTTACACTGAATACTCAAAGCTATTTCCTGCCAAAAATCAGGAAGAAGACCTGCAAAACCCACTTCCTCTGAACACCATCACAAACTCATCTTCTCAAAGTTTCCAGCAGTTAATAATTTCAAATGGAAACAAGTCATGCAAAGGTTCACGCAAAAACAACAATTCATGCAGAAAAAGAACTGGGAAACAATGCATTTATAAAACCAAGACTAGAATTAAGTTGAGAGATGAATAAATTTTTCATGGGTGATGCAGCATTGACAATATTTTTGGAGCAATATTACCTGTTTTGATTTTGATTATAATGTAATTTAAAGTTACTAAAAACTCACCCACAGCACTTTTTTTCCTCACAGCTCCATATGAGAGCTGTGTAGTCACATTTTCAGTAATTATCTATTTGCAAAGTGTTTAAATAAAGCTTTATGGGTATTTTTAGGCTGCTGGTCACCCAAAACAAAACACAGGCTTGTGCTGAAGATTTAAGGTCGATTGCCAATACCAGAGGTGGGACCAAGTCGTGGTTTTGCAAGTCTCAAGTAAGTCTCAACTCTTTGACCTCAAGTCCGAGTCAAGTCCCAAGTTAAATACGAGCAAGTTCAAGTCAAGTCTCAAGTCACTGGCTCATAAATCCAAGTCAATCCAAGTTATCTGCTTTGAGCTTCAAGTCATTTCAAGTCTTCAAAACAAAATACCAAATACAGCTTAGATTGTTGCAATTTATAAGAATTTTGAGATAAATTATACTTAAAAAGTTATGGAATATTTATATATGAGTATTTATAGAGAATATAAGAGTTGGAGAAATGTTATTTTTTCCTTTTTAAATGTCTTCACAAGATCTTAGTGTGAATTATTACAGTCAGAATAGAAAGAATTCAGATTTAAAAGTGCTTCTCAAGTCTTCTCAAGTCACAGCCCTCAAGTTCGAGTCAAGTCCCAAGTCACTGACCTTCAAGCCCAAGTCTTAATCCATTTTATCAAGTCAAGTCTCAAGTCCTAAAAATAGTGACTCAAGTCTGGTTCGAGTTCAAGTCATGACTTGCAAGTCCCCACCTCTTGCCAATATGTTAAAAAGTAGGCCTGTCACAGTAACAAATTCTGAAGTGTGATATATAGCTGAATTACTCACAAGAAAGTACTCTAAATGTACTATATTGTTCAAAAACATTAACTGCAATAACTAAATAGCACAATGCAACACTTTTAGTCATTAAATTGTCTAGTTTTAGGTCATAATTTGATCTTCCACAGCTCAAATTTTATCATATTGCTAAAAAAATAACCAAATATTCCCACTAGTAAAAAGAAAGTCAATATAGTATTTATGGTGACAGGCCTACTAAAAAAGGCTGATATACAAGTCTATCTCAAATAAAGACAGTAAATCTATAAATAAAAGAATCTATGGACTTCTTTTGTATTTCCAAATGAAAGAAACATGTTAAAAAGCAAACTTCCTCATAATGTCGTCTTTAATATTTCTTGCCAGCAGCTTTCTGTGGCAAAGACACCTGTCACAATCTGTCACGTTCGAGGTCGTTCATTAATATTCATGAGAGGCTGGCGGGACAGAGGTCGAGGCAAGAGTTCAGAGGTCACACAGGAAGTGTCAGATTCAAACAGAGACATGTGATTTATCTGTGTTTGATAACTGTGGAGGTGTGAGAGCGAGAAGTGTCAGTGCAAAGGAAAAGTTTCAATACTCAGCACCGATTCTGATACCACAATGGAAAAAATAAAGAAAAGTAAACACAATAATAGCAGTTTCTTTAAATGAGCACTTGGCAACTTTTCGGGTGGAGTTTCCCCTACCGTCTTGTCTCCCTGGAGATGTTATTGCTTTGCCTGGAATGTTCCATGGTATGACATTTAATTTATTTGATTTTTGATTTGATTGATTTATGTATTTATTTTGGGCAAGTAAGAAATGCGCATTCTTTTACACTGGAACTCAGCAGAAATAACAACAACAAAAAATTTATAAAAATGAAAAATTTTCCCAAAAAGGAGTGGGAAGAGGAAAACTATATGAACTATTTACAAGTGCAGACAAAGACATTAAACATATCCATCTAGTATTTATTCATTACAGTTGTTTCTATTGCTCAAAAATACAATAATTCCTTCTATGAATAGGGGCGACTCTCCACAGATCTGAATTGTAATGTAGTGTAGTGCTGTAACCTGCTTGTCTCCCTCGTACAGATAAGTTTACTCTATACTGTGGAATATTCTAGTTAGTATTTCCATGTAAACAAGCAGGTGGCAGACTCTCCACTAGAAATGTTACGCAGTACACCTTTAATATTACTATGTGGTCTTAAACTTGTTCTAATATTGACTGTAGGAGTGGGTATCATTAAGAAATTGCCGATACGGTACATACCTCGATACATAGGCCACGATACGATACATATCTCGATACAGTGAGCTTTCGAGTCGATACGATTCAATACAACATATATTTCAAATCAATGTGATAGAGTTTAATAAAAAATAAAGGCTAAATCATGGCTTTGTTAAACCACTTCTTGTGCAAAGCGAATATGAAACACAAACATTTTAATCATCAAAACAGTGAAAATGTCAAATGTGTTGGATAAACAAGTTTCCTTCCTCTAAACAAGCAACAAAACTTTAACACTGTAACAAAATAATTTAGTAAAATACACCAAAAAATACTCTTGGCGATATATCGATACACCAGCCCACTATATCGATACTGTATCATCAAATTAAACGATATGATATTTTGATATTTTTGCCTGGACCAAGACCATTCTAAAACGGTCATTTTTTGTTCAGTATTGATACTTGTAGAATAGGTTTTGATATTAGTTTACATTCTGATTAATATCTAGGTATTGATTTTTTTAATCAAGTGGATTAATATGAATCATGAGTAATTTTGCCTGGTTACAACAAAATACTGTATTATTATCTTTCTTCTACAATCATCAACATGCATTATCAGTCATTTTCAAAGGACATTTTAAAGATTTTAGACCTGGTTAATACTGGTTTGGTTCTGGTTTTGTTAAGACACGGTTCAGTTATGCTTTAGTCCTGATTTAAGTCCTGGTTTAGTCTTGTTTTAAGCCTGGACCAGTCCCGGTTTCATCTTCCTGTGTCTTGGAGCTGGATGTGGTTGCTGTGGTGAAGATACTGGTCACCATGACAACAGCAGCTCAGCATCTCTGTGTTTACAGCCTCTGCCTTGTCTCTGTCTTGCTGCCACTGGGCTGATATTTACTTAGTTAACTCTGTAAATGCTGAAGCTCGAACACTATGCACATTTATAAAACAGTGAAACAGTGATTCATTAAAACTCCCTGGTTCAGTTTATCTTGGGTGTAAACATCCTGGTTTAGAATTGGTTTAGTCCTGGAAAACCTCATTCACATTTGATTTAGTCATCGTTTAGACTGGGTTTGGCCCCCTGGTTTAGGTCTGGTTTCGATCTGGTTAGTCCTGGGTTAGATCTGGTTTAGAGCTGATTTTGTTCTGATTTAGTTCTGGTTTAGTACTGGGTTAGTTCTGGTTTAGATCTGGTTTAGTTCTAGTTTAGTTCTGGTTTAGATCTGGTTAAATTCTGATTTGGTTCTGGTTTAGTTCTGGGTTAATGCTGGTTTAATCCTGGGTTAGTCCTGGGTTAGATCTGTTTTAGAGCTGATTTAGTTCTGGTTTAATACTGGGTTAGTTCTGGTTTAGATCTGGTTTAGTCCTGGTTTAGATCTGGTTTAGTTCTAGTTTAGTTCTGGTTTAGATCTGGTTAAATTCTGATTTGGTTCTGGTTTAGTTCTGGGTTAGTCCTGGTTTAGTTCTGGTTTAGATTTGGTTTAGTCCTGATTCAATTCTGGGTTAGTCCTGGGATAGTTCTGGTTAAATTCTGGATTAGATCTGGTTTAGTCCTGGTTTAGATCTGGTTTAGTTCTAGTTTAGTTCTGGTTTAGATCTGGTTAAATTCTGATTTAGTTTTGGTTTATTTCTGATTTAGTTCTGGTTTAGTTCTGGGTTAGTTCTGGTTTAGATCTGTTTTAGTCCTGATTCACTTCTGGGTTAGTTCTGGTTCAGTTCTATCTTATATCTGCTTCAGTCCTGATTTAGATCTGGTTAAGTTCTGATTTCGTTATGCTTTAGCTCTGGATGAGTTTTGGGTTTATCTCAGGTTAGTCCTGGGTTGGTTCTACATTAATCCTGGTTTAGGTCTGGTTTAGTCCTGGTTTGAACTTGGTTTTTACCTGATTTAGTCCTGAGTTAGTTCCGGTTCAGCCCTGGTTTAGTCCCGATCCTAGTGCTTGTGTGTGTCTGTGTGTGGCCTCCTGCCCTGGATTAGCACAGAGTGAATGTGTTTAACTGGTGTTGTGGGAGTTTGAATGTGTGTGAATGGGGTTTAACTGGGGGTGACTGGTCTCTGAATGGGATCAGATGTTTGGAGCTCACAGTGAAAGGGTCCTGGCCTGTTTGTGAAAGGAACCTGTCCCATTTGTGAATGCTCTCGTCAGTCTTATTGTGGAACGCTGTGAGAATCTGGCTCAGGGTCAGAAATCTCATTTAAATCCTCATTTAGACTTCTGACCCAGGAAATCCTAAGGACAGAACCAGGACTTTGGACAAAACCAGGAATAACCACAGAACCAGCTCTAGAACAGAACTAGGATCAAAGACAGATCACGAACCATGGACTGGAAGATGATAGAACAATTGAGTAGATGGATAGATACTTTTTAATTTATCCTAAAGGAAATACATTTTTCAGCAGCAACAAGGAAACATAGTAATAATAGTGATTCAGCAGTAATTAATAATTTATAGAGATGTGTTGTATCACCATATAAAAATGAGCAGAATCAGATATCGGCTCCCAAATATCGATTCAGACAATATCCTAGTTGGAAAAATTGACGTAATAAGACTCATAATGTTTGAACTTTTATTTATTTAAAGCTGTTCTGTAATTTCTTGAGAGATAAAGAACAGCCACATGACACATTAGGATCAGTTTTGTCTTATTTTAGTTTTGTTCTGAGGAAATACTTGTTGAGACTTGTTTTCAGTCTCACTATCGGAACTGAAAAAGCTGGAAAGGCGCATCTCTACAATTGAGACACAGAGACGATACCAGGCCAGATCTGGAAAAGGGTCCAGATAAATAGTCCTATAACGAGGAGTCTGGCCCAGATCTCGATGTGTGTTTGTTCATGTATAGAGATATTGTTTATGACTCATGTTTGATTATTGTGATGTTATGAAAGCTCTGATTGTCTTTTGGAATTCCCCGCTGCCCACTGTCGAACTGATTTAATCCAGATCTTGCCCTGGTTTAGTCCTTGTTTAGACTTTATTTTATTATTCCTCTCCCGTTAATGTGAAAATCAGCTAAATTGCATGGTTCACTTGAGTCAAGACAGTGCAGAAACTGTCTCAGAAAACAGCCAGATTTAAGTACTTACTGCGCAAATGCGTCATAAAATACACACAATTATAGCAGAGTTTGAGTGTAATCCTGGATTTAACTTTGCTCAGTTCTCAAACAATTATAAAGCTCATTTCTTTCTTTCAATTCTTTCCCATAAAAAGAACAATAACTACTGTTGGGATTAAAGTGCAGAGATTAAATTGTATCAAGATTAACCCTTTTCATTTCTTCCCCAAAACAAACACAATTTAGATTAGATTTTCAGAGGACAATTGTCAAGAATTTCTCCTCAAGGACTAATATATTAGTGGTCTGGTTCTGCTTCATTGGATTAACACATTTGAGAGTCAGCAGTTTACAAAGCTTGTGAGTCTTAAAAGAAAAATAAATAGGGGAGAGAAATTGTGAAATAATCTCTAAATCCCGCTGAGTGTGCTTTCTAAATAAATAATGACTCACCTTTAGATGCTCTTTAGAAGTTCCCGTGAAAATCCATCCTAAATCTTTATAAACATCCTTTGCAGTGTCTTGTTGTCGTCTTCTTATCGCATTCACGGTCTGTATACCTAGTTTCTCCTCAGTTTGGTGTCCGCTCCATTCTGTCCAACACAAACCAAAGAAAACCCTTATTCCTCAGACCTTACCTTGCTTCCTTTCCTCGCTCCTTATCCAGGTTTTAGAAGCCTACACATCATCACCAACTTACGAAATCAAATAGTCATTTTCTAAATCTCCAGCAAAGAAGGCCACAACCCAGTGAACTCTCAGTGCTGGCCCCAATCCAAAATAACACAGATGAGGGCTGCACCAGGAGAGGCATCTGAAGTAAAAAAAATGAATAAAAAAATAACTATGAAGGACCCTAGATTATAGATTAACTAATTAAATATTCACTTAATTTAACATGCAAATAGCAAAGAGGGCATTCCCTACTAGAACAAAGATCTATTTTTCTTTATCCCCTCATCCATTCTCACATGATGCTAGATAATTACATTTACATCTTTACCCACTCCAGCCCTCGCTTCCAGTCTCTGTCAGATCACTTTAGTCTCCTCTTTGCTTCCTCGTTTACTCCCTTGCATCTCCTCTCGCTTACGCCGCAGTTTGTTCTTTACTTTGGCCCTATTTCCTCCTCCTCTCCACTGCTGATTTAGTCCTGATTCATTCCTAGATCAGACCTGGTTTGGTCCTTATAATTTAGTACAGGTTTAGTCAAGTCCTGGTTTAGATCTTCATTCCTAGTTCAGAATCAGACAAGATTAAAACCTAGTTTAGTACTCGTTTAGATCGGGTTGAGACCTTGTTATGTCCTGGTTTAGTCCTGAATTCTTCCTCGATTCCTTCCTCGCGTCCTTGTCTCCTTTGCCCAATTCTCCTCGCCTCCTTTCCTCCTCGTTTCCTTGTTTCTTTTCGGCTTGTCTGTCCTCGCGCTCCGCTCTGACTCATAGTGGGCGGGACCAAAGAAGCGGCAAGCCAATAGGAGACAGGTGGGCGGGTCTAAAGTAGTTCTGAGCCAATGAAAAGTGTTTCAGAGGGAGAAATTAATAAAGGGGCGGGGTTTGTAGAACTATTGGCCAATAAAAAGTGTGTTCTGAGAGAGACAGAAGTGAAGCAACAGGAGAAAAACAGACGAAGATTATTATGGATTAAACTCAATCACGTGATGAAACCGCGGGCTAAAGAGCGACAGATTTACTAAAAAACACACTGACTCTTGTTAGCTGTGGTAGCCTATTTTTTTTTTTTTTTTATAGTTAGAGGGCATGATATAAGGGAACTTCATAGACATGTTCTAGTTTATTGTACCTCAAAGAAGGCATATTATTTAGAATGTCTGACAAAATTAACAAAATGGGTAAACTTGTCAATAAGTTTTTCAAGTCAACATGACCTAGATGGCCTGAGTACTCTGACCTTGCAGCAAGAAGGTTCATTGCATGTGGATGTTTGGGAGTTACAGTTCCCAAAGTTTCAGGCCAGGACATACAGTATAATAGAGCCACCCCAGGACCCTCAAGAGAGCCATGCAAGCGACGCAGGACCCATCCATCCATCTATCCATTTTCTTCCACTTATTCAGGGCCGGTTTTCTTTCGACAGGACACCCGAACACCTTTTCACGGAGATTACCTTCTCTCGACGTGAAGGAGCAGCGACTCTACTCCGAGTTCCTCCCATCATGTAACTGAGATGCAGGTTGCTTATTCCAAAATTTTAGAAGCCAGTTATCATTTCAAGTGTGTGATATGTTGATATGTGTATGTGTGTGTGGATAATCAAGTTAAAAAGATTTATCTGAGTGGTCTATTGTGTTATTTGTGCTAATTTTGCTCACTGTAATTTCTGACATAAAATCACTTGTCCCAGAGAGCCTTGTTATTATAATAAATACAACCTACACGTGGGAAAGGCGTCACTGGTGTTTCTTTGAAAACTGCTGTTTCCATAGCAATAGTTGGATGGTTTCCATGGCAACCGCATCAGCACCACTGTATGAGGTTCATACACAGGTCAATATTGGAATTTGCTAAAACTCTTCACCCACATAACGGTGAGAGGCACCACCTGACACAAACTCCAAGTAAAGTATAAACCCTTCCTGGTAACAACTTGGTTTAGTTCTACACTGAACCGGGTTTTGTTCTGCTTCAGACTTAGTTTAAAGTCTTGTTTTAAACATGGTTAGGACCTGCGTGGTTTGTGCCAAAGCCAGACCAAGTATAGTTTGGGACTGCAGTCTCCAGGTTTAGATATTTTACTGGAGTGAAGAAGTTAGGTTCTGAATGTAAACAGACTCAGACCTGCTACAAATAAAGTCTTCAGAGGGGTATTAGCATGTCATTAGCGTGAAATTAGCATGACATTAGTGTGTCATTAGCATGGTTAGCGTGTGCTGGGCTCCTTTCATTTCTGTGTGAGGGTTTTGTCATGCTAATGCTAAGGTCCAGGGCCAAGGTCAAGGTCCCAGCATGCACCTGGCTCTAAGCCTGTCGCCATGGAAATTTATCTTGATTTGGGAGTTTGTTTTAGTCTTTTAAACCTGAGCTGTTTCACAATTACAACCCTGTCTCTGAAGATGAAGTCACTTTCTCCAATGACAGTGTCTTGGAATCCAAGTGTCGCCCCTCAGCCCAGTTTGCAAAAACAGGCTTCATAGTGAACAAGCAGTTCTGTGCTTTCAGACTCGAGAGCAGGTGAAATTAACAGGTAGAACAGTAGTAGTTCACTATTTAAGAGTGATTAAACTGTAACCCAACTTCCTCTAGTAGGATCTTTGTTTATAGTAGTTTCAATGGGCACTTCTGCTGTGTTGGCAAAATAAGAATGCCACACTGCCTACAGCGTAGCTCCCACAGACTTTACAGTCTGGTAGTACCCCAAAGCAGCTGTGGTTGCAGAATTATATTACCACCAGGGTGTAAGAGAGAATAAATAATGCATTAAATTGTAAAGTGAGACTGTGGCTGTTTTACAGAAGTGGTCTGCTTCATAAGTCACGTTTGGAGGATGAGTGAATGAGGGTGACCCTGGTTTATGAAGCTTACTATAAATAAAAATTTATTCACACAAGAATGGCTTGAGTTTTTGTTTAACTACATCTTTGTGCTTCTGATATAGTGTTAATGCATTATGATGATCAGCAATAAGAGCTTGAATAATGAATACTGCTTTTATGGACTTGGAGATCACTGCAATTTTATTAAAAATCAGATCCACAAATACAAAAAACATGTACAAACTAAAATTATTAGTAGGCTTGTGACAATCAATTACTAAAGGAAAAATGTATAATAAATAGTATTAACCTAAGTATAAACCTAAAATTTTCTCAAGTTAGAGCAAAGATTTGAATCAAAAGACAAGCCACTCCTGCAGTAAAAAATGAACAAGCAAAACAGTCTAGCCCTAGCTCACATTGTTTTATGAGATTGCTGGTAAATAATATAAAGTTCAATTTGTGCTTAAAAATGCACATACTGGATTAAGAAAAATCATTGTTACTTACAGATGGAACAAATAGATTTTTCTAAACACTTGTCCCATAATATCTGAGGTTCAAGTCTGTTTTTTCATCCTGGTGAATCTAGCGCCTCCTTTTGGCCGGTGTAGGTCCTGACGACCCCCCTTTACCTGAAGACGCTCCAGTGTTCCCTGTCTTTGTAGAGGTAGATCCAGGAGCTGCTCCTTTAGCTGCTGAGGGTGTAGGTGTGCTGCCTTTAGTGGCAGGGGGTGTAGGGGTTCCACCTTTTGCTGCTGGAGGTGTGGGGGTCCCACCTTTAGCTGCAGGGGGTGTGGGGGTCCCACCTTTAGCCACTGGGGGGCCAGGGGTCGGTGTAACTCTCTTCTTCTTGTCATCTTTGGAGTTGGATTCTGTGGGTTTGTCTCTATCCTTCGATCGATCAGACTTCACTGACGAGTTACTGCCTGTAAGACAGTTTTATTGTGAATAGACTTATGTATATGAGCAAATTAGCTGTGGCAAAGCAATACAGAGGACACAATATATTGTACATTTTAACATGCGGTCTTCTTTTTGGGAGATAAGATAGTCAAAAAAATATATTTTGATTAATTTGAAAGGTTTTGTGAAATTAGGAAAACACACAAAAAGCAACTCCAATAAATTCATTCAAACTGGATTTAAAATTATTTAGCCACCTGAGGTTTTTGAGCACCTAATTTTATTTTGCTGTTGTTAATTTTGGAGTTACAGGATGAAAAGTTTGGAAACCCCATAGAGGGATGTCACATTGGGCAACATAAGCATTTAATCAAACCACACTGAACTGTATGATTCACATGATATGACATATGTGGATTAGCCAATATATTGTGATTTTTACTTCAAAAATTTGTCTGTACTAACCACATTGGTGAGTCATCAAAGATACAAACTATGGACACTTGATGGAGCAGAATAAGGTGAGATTCTAACTGATACTGCAAAACTATGAGCAGTAATGTACTTTAGTAGCAATAGGCACATCAGTATTTACATTTACATCAAAAGCCATGTCCTGTTTCAAGAAATACATTTTTAAATATATTTCAATAGATATACAAAAAATGTTTTATTTGTGTGATAATGTTTTGCGGATCAAGTGCTTAGATGCATACTGCTCCTCTCTACCACACTGGCAGAGTTCTTTCATCTCTAATTAATAAATAAAAACAATAGAGCAGTGCAACCTCATTGTAATGCAGGACGTCATAAAATATTGATATCTGTATTGTGACTCTTTAAGATTGATGAATTAATACCACCAATATACACACACACAAAAAAAATATTCTGTACTTTTAGCTTCTAGTTGCTGTTGTTGAAACATGTCACAAATAAACAAAGCATCTTGGTTACTGGGGTGTGAGATTTGCTATGGACAGGGAAAATGCAGAGACATGACAAGGTGTGAAAAGATGGAGCTGTCCCATCTCATTGATGGGAGGTGAGGTTTTATCACCTCCTCTCACATAAATATATTATTTCTACAGCTATAATAATACAACTAATACATGTAATCTCCTGTCTCCATCCATTATCTTACCTTCCTCTGCAATTGCTGGTGGCTCCACTTTTAGCTCCTCCAGTTCCTCCTCATTGCGACCTGAACAACACGTAAAATGTTAGTTGCATTTACACATTTACATAATGTGAGTAATAATGTACTGTACCCTCTCTGACATCCTGGACAATGTCATCAGGTAATGAGAAGCTCTTCTCTGAGTTTGGAAATGGCAGAATCTCAGACTCATGCTGCAACATACACCACCTGTTTAGAGCCAGGACTAAACTAAACTAGTTCCCCCGACATAAATCCCGAGTCGACATACCAGGGCCTGCATGTCGTACATCGTGCCGAGGTGTTCCCAGATGAGGTCGGAGGAAACTTGGCGTCCGATGTTCTGACTGAACTTGTCCCTGATGCACATCATGTGGAAGTGACGGTTCACTCCTGAAATATATCAAACATGATTAAATCAAGTTAAACCTTAAACAATTTCAATAACTAGCGCCTTATTTTGTATAGTTTAAGATCAACCAGTTATGAAATCATTATATTGTAAGGCTAGATTGCAGCACCCTTGATTTTTCATTCAAGAGTCTGGTTATTGTTTTTAGCCGTAGCTTAAGCTACTAAGCTAACACACGCTAACCAAACAAAACCAACAAATTGTTAAAATATTGCACAATCTGCTTATTCTTTATTAAATAAAATGTTTCCTTCGTGCCTTTTCATGGTGGTTTGGTAATTATTAGTTCTGTGTTGTTTATAATGTTTATGTTTTAGGAGTAACTGAGCTAGCAAACAGCGCCATAAGTTTAGACGGTAACTGCTAAAGGTAACAGTGAACATCACTGGGAAACTGACCCACGGGCTTGTGTCCGATCATTGCGTGGAAAAGACACACTTCCACTTCGTGGCTCCAGATCACCGGCTCCTCTGCGGGAACCAAGCCTGGCTCCGGGGGCTTCTCCTCGGCCTGGTTCAGCGTCAGCTCGGCCTCTCCCATGCCGCTCTCCGGAGCTCCGCTCACTACAGAGCCGGGTCCAGAGCTCCAGAGCGGGGGGCAGCTGCTCAGTGCTTCACGCGTTTGCTTCGCTCGCTCAGCGCCATCTGCAGGTCAGGAGCAGGTGTTGTTGCTCCACGAAATAGGAAATAGAAAACAGAAAACCCAATTGAAACAGTTTGTAGCACTCTTGTTTGAAAAGGTACTGCAATAACACTGGCTACACATAGACCTTTTTCTCGGTAGGCTATTGATGGGGGCAGCTAAAATTATTATATTGTAGTTAAACTGAGGATTTTTGTTGTAATACAGGGAGTTTATGAGTCTAATCACTAATAGAAATCATCAGGTTCAGCATCTGTGATTTTACCATTTAGATATTTCATGGCAAAGTACAAAGTACTCTTACCCCCCATCTGGGAGTATGTCATCATATTCTAGAATATGAAAACTTAAAACCACCAACATGAACAGGCCAAAATTCACTCACTGAGCTGCAGAAGCTGCACTAGCACTGATTCATGATTGGCCGCAAATGCTGGGGTTTAGGTAGTGAGGACTAAGATTAGATAAAACAAAATGGATTTCAGCACTGAAACTGGCAACCCAAATTAAAGGCTCACGTGAGGCTCATTCTGCTTTTTTATTGGATAATCATTTTAAGAAATAAAACACCCAGTTGTAACATAAATAAATGAGACATCATAAAAACACGGAGGAAGTGAGGGCTTCAGGGTATCTTAGTTCAAAGTCCACAACAGGACGTAGCTCAAAAGCTAACACACAGTGAAGATGACTTGCTTGTAGTATAAAAATTTACTGTGATGACAAGTAACAAGTGGTCAAAAAAGTCCAAGGCACTGTTGAAATTAAAGTCCTTTAATAATTACATGGCCATCAATGGGACATCATGTCCAATGATTTTTGTAATTAAGAATAAATCAGCATCAGTGAAAGTTATATTGTGGAAAATGAAAGGTCAAATTTTAATTAAAAATCTTACATACAGCTCCTTAAAAGACTACATATACACTTGAAGGTGAAGCCATGAAAGTACAATGGCCCAGAAAAAGCTGTTGAATGGATCATCTATTTGAATGATTCATTTTATTCTCACCTCAACTTTATTCATAGTCTAGAGCCCTTCAAAGACACACACAGTTGAGTGTCTGTGACCCTTGGTTTTGTAGCTCTTATGTTCACTGTACAATTTCCAGTGGAAAAGGTCTGGACATTTGTCAGCAGTAATGGGTTGAATACTTTGATTCTATGTGAAAAGATTGCGTGATGTGTGACTGGAATGGACTCTTCTGTTATAGGAAGTGAATTTTGATTTTGAAATATGAAAAGGGTAAGTTGTTTTATTTTTCTTTAATACCACGACCACCACTGCTTATATTCACTCCATCCTTTGTGTTTTCAGTTGAGTTGACAAATGCAGACTCTCAATTCAAATAGCAAATTATTTATTGCTGTCACCAAACAAATGTTTATTCCATAAATTAAAAAACATGCTGCCTTTTTCAAGACATTTTAAATATTGTTGCACTTATTTTTCCATAAGGCGTCACAGCAAACCGGCGTGCACACATCTGCACACTGCAAACTGATGACATAAACATGCATGTACATGTATGTAATTTCAAAACAGTATCTTAGGTGAAAACCTTTTACATATTATCTTGGTAATATCTATAGATTCTGGGGGAGTTTGTTGGTATGCGGACTGGTGCAAACAAAAAACATAAAACCTATAAACCAAAAATATGTTCATGTTCCTGAAGAACCATTTCAAAGCCAAACTGACACACAAATGCACAGCAAATGTGCCACAAACAGACCAAAATATTGAGTTATGTTCAGAAAAATGTGCCAATATTTTAAGAACATTTTCCAGGATTTTGACCTTAAATCACAAACACAAACAGGCTCAGAATAAAAACTAACAAAACTCAAAGATCCAACAAGTTCAAAAAACCACAGTGACAGTGTGTCTTCATTCCGCGATCTGTGGAAATAAAACAAGACAGATAAGATTAATAAAAAAAACAAAAAAAAAAAAAAAACAATTTCTGAACCAGGACTAGACCAGGTGGAATTGTTTGATATCATTATTGTTATGTAGTGGAATTAAAAATAGGACCATCAGGCACGTTTATTGACTTAAAGACTTCCCTTTGGCCAACCCCAGTGAAAAAACTGGTCCCTGAATACCAGAAGTACTAGTAATACAGGCTATTGTGGTATGCTCTGTGTACTTTAGTAGTATTCTTGAAAGCAGTGGTATTTTGAGTACCTGTGCTGTAACTTTAACAGTCTGCTCACGGGTTCTGATTCGCAGTTTGTTCACAGTTGTTTCTGCTATTTCCGCTCGCTCCTCAGCATCATCCAGCTCGTGCTGAATTTTTCTATAGCGAACAGAGTTGGAGGTCACCTGCTCCTCCTGGTGCAAAAAGACAGTAATACTCAGGATATAGAAGTATTACGTTGTGTACATACAAATGGAATAGTATAAAAGCAGTTGTATGATTGTGCAGTACTGACAGCGTTCTCGGCCTGTCTCTTGAAGCACTTCACTTTACTCTGAAGTTTGTCCACAAGCTCCTGCATCCTCAGCAGTGTTTTCCTGTCTTCTTCAGACTAGAAAACAGACATTTATTATATTTCCAGTCCACCCCTGTCCCCTGATACCTCCTCCTCAGCCACGTTTACCTGTCCTTCCCCAAACGGAAAATCTAAATTATACAGTATCATAAGTATTTGTCAAAAATAAAATAGTATAGGTTCATCTGAGCCTCCTCTCTTGTTGTTGCTGATGTGTAGTGGTAGCAGTATTTGTGGTGCTAGTCAATCAATCAATCAATCAAACTTTATTTATAAAGCACTTTTCATACAAAAATGTAACACAAAGTGCTTTACACAGATTAAAAACAATCCCACATTTCCACCCACCCACCCACCAACCCAACCCCCACAGCTGCCCAACTCGACACAACCAAACATCACAGACACCCAAACACCCAAACCCCCCCACACACACACATACACATTAACCTGCTAAAATACATAAAACGACACATAGTAAAATGTGAGGCTGAATACAGGCGAACCAGTTGAGAAAGCATCATCAGAGGAGCCGTCTACACCAGGAGCAGAGAGACGTCCACCACCACCAGGAACCACCACAGGAGCCAGGGGAGAGATGAAGCCCAAGCTCCAACTCTCCACCAGGAGCCCACGGGACAGACCCGACAGCTACAGCCGACCTCTGCTCCTGATGCAGAGGCTCCTACAGAGGAAACACTGCATATCCTAAAAATAAGTCTAAAATAAATAAATATAAATTAAAATGTGTATAGTAGAAACAAGTAAAAAATATGATATTTCATTCAAAAGCTAAGCTAAAAAGGTGGGTCTTGAGCCTGCTCTTAAAAACATGAACGTTCTCTGCAGCCCTGAGCTCCTCCGGCAGGCAGTTCCATAGACGAGGGCCACAGTACTGAAAAGACGCCTCTCCGTGAGTGTGTGTCCTGACTTTGGGAATGACAAGGAGCCTGCTGCCGGAGGAGCGCAGGGTCCGCGAGGGTTCGTAAGGTAAAAGGAGTTCTGAAAGATAAGAGGGCCCAAGACCATTAAGACATTTAAAACCAGTAAAAGAACTTTAAAATCGATCCTGAAACTCACAGGGAGCCAATGCAGTGATTTTAAAACCGGTGTAATGTGGTCCCGCCCTCTGGTCCTCGTCAGGACACGTGCTGCTGAATTTTGTAGTAATTGTAAACCTGAAATACTCTTTTTGGGAAGACCAGAGAGCAGGGCATTACAGTAGTCTATTCGACTGGTGATAAAAGCATGCATCAGCGTCTCGGTGTTGGCCAGAGAGAGAATGGGGCGGACTCTGGCTATGTTTTAGTACAATAGATTGTATTTGTAGTACCTGAGAGGTTAGCTCCTTCAGTCTCTTCTCGTAGCGTCTCACTCCTTTGTGGTACTCCTCACTCTTCTTCTGTTCCACCATCACTTCTGTTTGCAGCTCCCGCACCTGCAGAGAAATAAGCTGGGTCAGAACCAGAGTAGATTCTGCTCAAGGCCAGCACCACGTCTGTCCACCTGGGCCCCACTGAGTACAATACAACAGTACTCATATGTAAATGATATACTTCACTGGTTACATTTGATCCATCACTCAACACCTCTGGGGTTAAACCCCATTGGGAGAAGTGGACCTGAGCCAGGATGCTGATCAAGAGCACTTAGCTGGTTCTTCATTGTGCATGTTCCAGATTGGTGGGTGACCTTGAGAAAAACAGATTTAGACAGAGTTCTGGTACTTACGCGGTTTTCCAGCTTGAGTAGCTGTTTCTTGCCCCCTTTGAGAGCCATCTGTTCAGTCTCATCCAGTTTGAGCTGCAGTTCTTTCACTGTAACTTCCATGTTTTTCTTCAGTCGCTCCAGAAGATTACTGCTGTCCTGCTCCCTCTTCAGCTCCTCTGCCATCAGTGCTGCCTATGAGGCATTAAAACATCTACCATAACTACATTTGCATGTCCACAGTAGTAGTAGTATAACTTAGTTCATTCGAGGGGAAGGATCAGACTCACATCTGTGATGGCCTTTTTGGCCTTTTCCTCTGCACTCCTGGACTCAGTCAAAGCCTCATCCACTTCTCCACAGAGTTGAGATACATCAGTCTCAAGCTTCTTCTTCTGACTCACCAGACCTGTATTCTAAATAAGAAAAAAAAAAACTGATTCAAAACAAGTTCATATTCTTCTAAACAGACCTAGCTTCTTATACATGAGTGATCCTCTGTGCAGTACCTGAGTGCTCAGCAGGTTCACTCTCTCAGACACCTCCACCAGTTCGTGCTCGGCGCTCTTTCGTGCGCGGTCTGTCAGGTCCAGCACTTCTTTGAGCTCGTTCTTCTCTGCGCTCATCAGTGAACAGCGGCGCTCCAGCAGAGCGATCTGCTCCTTCAGCTGATTGGACGCTTGAAGTTTCTCCTCCAAGTCAACCTGCTGCTCCTTCACCTGAGACAGGATCAACATCAGACTATAGTCATCAGTGCAAAACACATTTACAATATCTAGAAGGTGATCAGAGAAATAAAGCTGGAGAATTACCTGGGTCTGTAACACTCTGATGACCCTCTGGCTCTCGGCGGCCTGTCGGTGGGCGTGGCTCAGTTGGATTTCCATCTCGTTGAGTTCTGACTCCAGTTTCTTCTTCTGTCTTTGTGCTTCACTGCGACTGCGACACTCAGCCTCCAGGCTAGTCTGTAGTGTCTCCAAAGCGTGCTGCTGGCTCCTCCTGGTGGACAAACACAAGTATTGCATTTTGGATGAGCACAATGTACCCTATATTCCTACCAGGATTAGAATGCTCATGAACAAAGCTGTAGGCAAAACTAATATTTAAGCATCAGTACTAAGTCTATAAAAGCTTAGGAGGCAGTACCGCAGGTTGTCAATTTCCTCGTCCTTCTCTGAAATCTTGCGCTCAATCTCAGACCTCACTTGCTGCAACTCCATCTGAACTCTGAGTGTCTTTGTCTCCTCATGCTCCAGAGTTCCCTGAAAATACAGTCAGAGTATATAAATGTCATAACATCTATAAAACATTCACCCCGCCTTTTGTCAAGTCCTAGATCTTGCACTTTTGCTCTGAACATCATAATACCTCTGCATCCTCCAGCGCTGCCTTGATATCGCTCTTCTCCACATCCAGAACCTTCTTCATCCTCTCCAGCTCCAGAATGGTCTTCCCTTCACGGCCCAGGTGGTCTGTGAGGTCCACAATCTCATCTTTGTCAACCAGAGAGCAGGGAGTCAGTCAGATGGCAGAAATAAAGCCTTATCCAGTTCCTTTTTTAGTGTTAGTGTGCTATATTTTATGTTTATAGGAATAAGTGAAGCAGCAATAGGAGTAGTTCATGGTTGTACCCTGCAGGTTTTTGTTCTCCCGTTTGACCGTCTCCAGTTGTTCCAGAGCCTCTTCGTAGCAGTTCTTCAGTTTGAATAGTTCGGTGCTGAGACTGCGGGACTCCCTCTGAGAGACCTCAAGCTCACTCTGGCTCTCCTCAAAACGTTGCTTTGCCTCTGTCAGTAACTGTTCACAAAGAAGGCCAGTAATAAGAGAAATAACCAGCAAAACTGATTCAGAGAAATGTGGATTAATTATAAAGGTCTTTCTGCACACAATGTGGTCCATACCTTGTCAAAGTTCCTGCTCTTTTTGTCCAGGGCTAAGGCGTTAGCATTAGATCTCTCTAGTTCCACTACCAGATCCTCAATCTCAGTCTGCAGTCGGACCTTGGTTTTGTCCAGAGAACAGCACTTAGCCTGCGATGTCTCCACTGCTTCCTCCAGAGACTGCAGCTTCACCACCAGCTTCTTCCTGAAACACAGAGGCGTTAGGGCGGCGATACATCAGACCCTTAATAGTCCAACAGGTCCACCAAAGAGACTGTGGTGAATATAAATATGCTCCATTTTACGTAGTTCTTACTTGGCCTCTTCCAGTTCCTCGATCCTCAGCACTGCGTCAGTCTCATACTTGGCTCTCCACTGCGCCACCTGGCTGTTGGCCTTGGACATTGCCCTCTGCAGTTCAGCCCGAGCCTCCTGCTCCTCCTCTAACTGCTCCCGAAGGAGGCTGCAATCATGCCGCGAGGACTGGACCGCGTGGGCTAGAGCCACACGGGCCTGAGACAACAAGTACAATCTTTAAGGATATTTCTTATAATCCATTATAGAATACTTGGCGCATTCTACAGTCTGAAATCTACCACAAAGTTACACTACACGCTCACAACCAAATTCATCTTATATATTATGTATCTGGACTGTACCCCATCACAACCTATGTCTACTGATTTAGATTCAGATTAGCCTAGCACTTACCTTGCTCTCCTCTTCCAGTTGTCTCTTTAAATCCTCAGAGTTCTGAGCTAGCCCTGCCTTTGAACGTTGCAGCTGACCAATCAGAGCATCCCGTTCCTCCAGCCGACGGCTGTACTCCGCTGCACCAACAGATAATAATTTGTTACATTTTATAAACGAGGTCTAACTCTGGAAATCTACATGGTGACTCATCAAAAACAAAAAAGTACTCAGTTCTCCTTAAACTAGGTCTAAATAATGTCATACCTGTCTCAGTGATGGCACGGGCCTTTTGTGCAGACATTTCTGTGAGTTGTCTCTGGAGGTCTTCAATCCGATTACGACTCTCGGTCAGCTGATCTTCATATGACCGGCACAACTTCTCTGTTGCACCCTGAAATCCCACAAAAACTGTTCAGGTCCTTGTTCAAAGTCTGTTTCCCTTTAGACCTGAATACATCCAACCAGGCGTAGTTTACCAAGGCTTATTACAAAGTGGTCCTAACATAGTTCTGGCTTGGTTACGGTTTGAGCCCTTATGTTACCTTGGATCTAGTGAGGGACTCCACATTGGAGGCCAGGTCATCTGCATGGAGCCTGGTCTCAGCCTTCTCTTTCTCCAGTTTCTGCTTGGCTCTCTGGAGGTTGTCGATCTGCTCACTCAGCTCAGTCACAGTGTCCGAGTGTTTCTTACGGAGAGTGGCAGCAGTTGTCTCATGGTGAAGCCCCGCCTCCTCCAGCTCTCTTCGCATCTTCAGGAAGTCCGCCTCTCGTTTCCTTTATGCACGAAATACACAACGAAAATAAGGCATGGCATACAAAGTCCTCAAACAACACGGGCACACTTGACAACTTCAATGTGAATAGCAAAAGTAATAGGGATCTTGGTTGAGTTTAGTGCAATCTGTGTGGCCAGAACTCTGCGTACTTCTAAGAGTAAATGGTGGTAAAATAGAGTTTTTCCACTTTCAAGGAACTCAAAGCATTTTACGTCAAGGAACCAATGACCCATTCACACACACATTTATACACCAGTGTACACAGACACTAGGGGCGAGGTGGGTTAAGTGTTGTGCCCAAGGACACTCAACAGGACACTGGTGGGTGTACAATAGCAGGTTCTAATTAGCTGAAGATGTCTATAGGAGGGCACAGGTGGGTATTGTACCTGTTGAGAGCAATCTGAGCAGCAGAAGCTCCACCCGCCTCCTCTAACTTCTCTCCCAGCTCCTCCAGTTCTCGTGCAATGTCATTCCTCTGCCGCTCAGCCTTCATTCTCCAGGCTCTCTCTGCGTCAAGCGCCTCCTCCAGCTCCTCAATACGTGTCTGAAGGATATGGTTCAAAATTTCTACTTAACTGACTTGATTGATAGAGCTATTTTTGACTGATTTCAGACTGTCACTATATAGAGATGGCGCCATTTTGTAATATTTAAATACATTTAAATAACTCAGATCCTGATACACACCTCAAGCTCTTTGATTTTCTTCTGCAGAGTAGCCACGATGCTCTGTTCATCCTCAAGTTTGGACTGAAGTTGGGCCAGCTCCCCATCTTTCCTGAGAGAGACCAGTGTCAAATCAGGTACAAACCATGACCAGTTCTGAAGTGGTATTTGAAATGAGCATACTTCTTGAGGCGGTCTTCCAGATCATCCTTCTGGGTCTCCAGGTCCCGTACTGACTCCTGGGACAGTTTGAGATCTCCTTCCAGTTTGCGACGAGTCCTCTCCAACTCCACACGTACCTTCTTCTCTTGTTCAAGGCTGCTCTCTACCTATGAGAGGTGAGATAGAGGAAAGAAAGATAAGAAAGACAGGGATTAGGTCAAATTTTCCTTACATTAAACTTAGAGAAAACTTACATGGTCCACTTGTTGTTCAAGTCTGGACTTGGTTTTGCACAGCACCGTGACCTTGTCCTCCTGGGTCTGCAGATCCTGGAGAGCCTGCTGATGGGCCTCCTGCAGAGCAGCCTTCTCTCGGCCTAGAACCAGGATCGACTCATCCAGAGTACACATTTCCTGAGAGAGGTTCTTCAGCTGAAACCAAGGGCAAAAAAGACTCAGATTCAATCCTGCAACAGACCTGTTTTGAGTCTGTCCTGGTTTGTGCTCACCTTGTTCTCCACCCCGTGTCTGTCTCTCTCCACTCTAGACAGGGTCAGTTCCAGCTGATCCACATCTCTCTTCAGTGTCACTACTTCCTCCTCCAGGACACGTTTCTTAGCTGTTAATGTGGCACTGACATCCTCCTCGTCCTCCAGTCTCTCCTGCATTTCCTTCAGTTTCTGGTCCAGGTGGATCTTTGACTGGATCAGCTGATTACACCGGTCCTCTGCATCTGCAAGATTATCTTGCTCCTGAAGAACAAGAAGAGAAGATGCTCCAGAACTACTTTCCCACACTTTCACAGAACTTAAACTAGCTGTGATTTCTATTGTTAGTTTATGGCTCTTTCCACTTGGTCAAAACCAAGTCCAAGCATTTTGTCCATAATGAAAAGTAATCCTCAAACCTCAAAAGACATATGTCAATACATTTGTGTGAGACTTACAGCCTGTAGTTGCAGGGCCAGGTCATTCTTCTCCTGAACAAGAACCACTTGGCGTTCCTCGGCCTCCCTGCGCTTTCCCTCAGACCTGAAAATACATAGTAAAAATCAGGGTGTAATCCAGTCAAAGTATGTTCAGATCTGGTTTTGATTCTGGTCTGTACTTGTCAAAGGCTTCCTTGAGTTTACTGAAGTCCTCATTAAGTGCAGCCAGTTCCTTCTCCACCTGCGCGCTCCGGAGTAAGGGGCGGAGTTTATAGAACAGCATCATCCACGGCCAGGTGCGCACAGAGAAGAAAGCACGCAGGTTGAACTGGATCACCACCACTGCATCCCTGAAGCAAACAGAGGGGTTAGGCCTCTCCCCTTAACAGAACAGCTCTCAATAATGTAATCTGACATCCTCATCTATGTGGTAGAATCAAATCAGTCGGTGAAGCACAGATTTTTTCAGTCAATTTTTCAGTCCTCTGTGTTATTATTACTTTTACCCATAAATCTGGATGTTTGTTTTGATATAGACAGACAGTGTTGGGAAGGTTACTTTTAAAATGTAATCCCCTACAGATTACAGATTACACACCCCAAAATGTAGTTTGTAACGTAATCCATTAAATTATTTAAAGTGAGTAACGTAATCTGATTACTTTGAATTACTTGATATTGTCATGTTTTTTTAAACGACATGAATGTAGCAATCACATCCTGAAATTCTTGTTTGTTGTCTTCAAATTGTCTGAGCCCAAATCTCCATGAATAAGAAACTGTTTGCTGTAGAGAAACAAAGACCATGATATCTTAATATAAGAGGTTTTGTCTGTTAAAAGACAGTAACAAGATAAGCTTTTCCTTCACCATATTAAAAAATATTATTGATAGAGAAATTATTTTTATATGAGATCACCTTAAATTATGTCAATCTACTGTTAGGTGTCATGTTGTTTAGACCTGGTTTAGTCCTGGTTTAGTCCTGGTTTAGTCCTGATTTTTAGACCTGGTTTACTCCTGATTCTAGTTCAGGTCTTTAGTTCTGGTTTAGTCGTGGTTTAGTCCTAGTTTAAACCTGGTTCAGTCCTGCTTTAGTCCTGGTTCAGTCCTGGTTTAGTCCTGGTTTAGTCCTGGGTTAGTTCTGGTTTAGTCCTGGTGTTAGTTCTGGTTTAGAGGCGCACAGGAGAAAGCGCGGTTTACGCAAGAAAACACGGTCCACTCGCGGCGCACGAGACGGCGGTGTCCGCGCAGTAATTACGGAAGGAGACGTGGTCCGCGGGTTCTCAGGTTAATGACGATGATGAAGATGTGTGTTTGTGTGTGTTTGTGTGCATGTCTACTCATGTGGCAGGTCACTATAGGACAGTAGTGCAGATATTATGAGTCTATGCAGGTTGTTTTCACCAGTGCCAGTAGCTCCTGTTTCACATTTAAGTTGTAGGCGATTTTATATTTGTTTTTTTTTTATATATATCTCACATCGGGAGAAGAATTTCCAAGACACAAATGCGTTTTTACCAATTCACTGCTGCTTCCACTGTGTGACTGACACCGCCAACTTTAATATGACGTTTACATCGCTCTTATTGCCCGCGTTCTGTTTGGGTTTCCGGCAATGAGTGAAATTACCGAAATAAAAAAAATAAATAAATGCGAGGTAGCACAAAATGTGAAAACAGGAAAATACCGCCTTGTAATCCACTTATTTCAGCAAAGTAACTGTAATCCAATTACCACTCATTGAAACAGTAACTGTAACTGAATACAGTTACTCATAATTTGTACTCTGATTACGTAACGGCGGTACATGTAATCCGTTACTCCCCAACACTGTAGACAGACCATGCATTTCTCTGCTAATATGTCTGTCAATCACGCTCACTGGAAATATGGGATATATCTATTTACATATTAAAGTAAAGTTTAGGAAATGTGTGGAGTTGGCTGGCCTGGCTGAAAGCATAGGCTTTCACAGGCTGGGACAGACCTGCGCAACATCATCTTGTCACGTTCCATCCTCATGAGTTTGCCACGACACATGGCCTGAACCGTGGTCAAAATCTCAGACAGACGAGTGTCCCTCATGTCCTCCAGCTGCCCCAGTAGCCCCGCCTTAAAGAACACCTGTCACAGGTAATACACAGGTACAACACAGAGAGGGGATTAAAACTATATCAGACATCTGCATACAGACAACATACAGACAAGAGTACCCGACAAGACACAAGAGAAAGACAGGAGCGAGGCAGGTAGGAGACAGGGGTGAGACAGGTGACATAAAGGTGAGGAACAGGGGTGAAGGTAAAGTGTACCTTTGTCTGTCCAAACTTGTACTGCGTGTGGTCTATGTCCAGAGAAGTGAGCAGTTTCTCCACAGCCTTCCTACTGTCCACAAACGAGTCCTCCGGGATGGCAGCTGGGTTCAGGATCCGATACCTGACAAAGAGTAGTAAACAGAAGTTTTAGACCTAGTTCAGACCTCGCTAAGTCCTGGTTTAGACCTAGTTCAGACATGGTTCACACTTCAAACCTGATGTAGTCCTGAACTTGAACTGGTCTTACCTCTGCTTAAACTCTGCATACAGGATCCTGTTGGGGAAGCCTTTTCTGCAGATACGGATTCCCTCTAAAACTCCATTACACCTGAGCTGGTGCAGCACCAGGAATGGTTCCATCACACCTGAGACAGAAAGAACCTGAGACTAAACACAGATCTACAGAAGGAAAGAGAACTGTGTAATTTGGTCTTTTGAGGGAAAGAATAACCTCTAACTATAAACTAATATCATGATGTGGTATAATAAATTAGGGCCATGCTAGGTACTGTATAAGAGTATAAAAACGTTCTGACTCTGACCTGGGTTCTTGGACTCGTTAGGAATGATGCAGCGGACAAAGTGTGGCTGTGTGCTGCGGAGATTGGCCATCAGTTTGTTCAGATTTTCCTAAAAATATTTAAATCATAATCAAAATGTAGCTAGCTTCAGTTATTGCATAAATCTCCAAATGTTTTGTGAACTGACTTTATGGAGCTGTGAAACGGTCTGGAACGACGCACCCTTCTTCTTCCTGGGCCTGGCTTCACCTTTAGAGTCCAATGCTGAGGACATTAACACAATATTATAATTTATTCAGAATAATTTATATAAATACAAGAACCTCATGGAGAAACTAACGCATGTCAGAGCTGATGTAGTTGTCAAAGAGTCCAGCCATCAGCTTGTTTGATGATTTCTGGAACAACGCTACCACTGTCTCGTTGAGGGGATCACGGTTCTTATCCAGCCAGCCAGTGATATTATAGGGAACCTGGAAGAACCAGAAGACCAGTTCATCCAAGGTTAGTCCTACGCTGGACCAAGTCTGTTATTCTTTAGTTTGGGTTTAGTCTTGGTTCAGGACTGTATGTCTATCCTTGTTTCCTTTTTGAACTTTGTTAAGTCCTGGTTTAGAGCATAGACACACAGTACACAGTGTAAATGGACATAGTCAACCCACTAGGCTAGAAAAACTGTCACTCTCTCTCTGTAATTGCTGCCATTAGCTTCGCCATTTTAGTCTTTAAATGTCTGTATGAACCCGCTCTAGATGACACTGCTTTTTATTTTTATTTCAGTATTTTGTCCATAAGTAAATTCCTATTCCTATTATGGAATTGACTCCAAATTCTTCCCATAACTGCAAGCCTCATGAGCTTCATTTGACTGGAGTCGAATGCCATGAGTAACGTCACACTCCCTTAGTCCACTTCGTTATACAGTCTATGGTTTAGGAGTGTTTTGGTGCTGTTTTAGTTTTTCTTTGACTAAGATTTCGTCCTGTTAGACCTGGTTTACACTGGTGCTTGGACTCACCACTCCTGCATAGTGGTTGAGCTCAAAGTGCGTTTCATATTTGCGTTTCTTGTCGGGTCGTGGTCGGAGGAAGTTAGGGGATTTTCCCAGATGATTGTCGTAGAGTTTGGTTTTGAAGCTCTGGTCCGTGGCCTTTGGAAACATGCACTCCTCCTCCATGATGGACAGGATTCCCATGGGCTGAAGACAGACAGATATGAGCAGAGTAAATACAGTTTATTGATACTTTGCAGCTGATTCCATCAACTTTCCCTAGGGGTGTGATGCTAACTGTAAGCACCACTCTGTCTGAAGCTCTGTTACTCAAGTTAAAATTCAATTTGAGCCTTATTTTAACACAATCAGATCAGAAACAACTGCAATTTTTCAGTTACTCTCACCTTTTGGTTAAAAAGAAAACACCTAAACAGAACCATGAATAGATCATATAGATCACAGGCTCCCGAAAATGTGCTGTGTACTGTGCATCTTTTGTATTTTTTCTTAAGTTTTCAGACAATCTAAACACCTTTTTGGTAGTTATGTGTGGATTGTGTCAACATGGTAACTAATAAATTCCAAAATATAAATGCATAAATACCCCTCCAGCGTGATGTCACTGCCAAGTAGGTTTACACTTTGTATATATCAGTGTTATTTGTACCTTCTCAATGAGATCGATGCAGGCCTGCAGGTCCAGCCCGAAGTCAATAAAAGTCCATTCAATGCCCTCAGTCTTGTACTCCTCTTGCTCCAAGATAAACATGTGGTGGTTGAAATACTGCTGCAGCTTCTCATTTGTGAAGTTAATGCACAGCTGCTCAAAGTTATTAAACTGAAACAAAAGAAGACAGGATTAATAGCAGGACTAAACCATCATTAAAAGTGCATTGTGTAACTTTTCTGGTGAAGGGTCCATCAAACCACCACCTGCTTTTCTTAATTGAGATGTTATTGCTTTGAGATGTTTCACAGTATGGCATTAACCTTTCTATTATTCAATGACATATCCATAGAAACACTACGATGATGGACACCAAACTTTTGGTCAGGACTAAACAAAGGTTAACCAGGCAGCCCCAAATGTGTAACTACATTATAAATCTGAAACAAGGTCAGAAAAATACTTACCTCAAAAATCTCAAAGCCAGCAATATCCAGGACTCCGATGAAGTACTGTCTTGGCAGAGCTGTGTACAAAGAGGAGTTGATGCGACCCACGAGCCACTTAAACATACGATCATAGGTCGCCTTAGCCAGAGCTGCCACCGCAAAGTACACCTGAAATACAAGAATCACAACAAAACTGAGTTACATCTTACAATCTTACACCAAGCCTTCTGGACATACTATATATACTTGTGTGTTTAATGAGACTTTGCAGTGGAGGGGTGTTCTGTGTATGACTGTTTAAGAATTGTCATGGTGAAAAGTTTTAAGATTGTCTGAAAACTCAGGAAAACACAAAATGTATTTAAACAAGATATTTTCAGGACTTGTCATCAATACGAGTGTTCATGGTCCTGTTTAGTAGTTTGATTTTCAACAAAAAGGTGAGAGTGACTGAAAACTGTTGGCTAATGCCTGCTTGTAATTTTATATGTGAGAGACTTGTTTAACAACACAAATCATCTCCTGTTGTAGATCCAGCTATGTCAGCTCTTTATGGTCAGATCGTGTTAAAATAAAACTCAGATTAAAGTCTAACAAGCCTCAGACAGAGCAGAGCCTACAGTTAGCGTCACACCCCCAATGAATGTTGATGACATCTGCTGCAATGTATCAATTCATGGGTTTAGCTTCCATTTATAAGTTAAATCTTGAGAACTTGAGAACACCCAAAGATAGAATATTTTGTTTTCTCATTCTGCAGCCCATGGACAGGGCGCTGTGTTTTGTCAGTTTTTTATTCACAGGTGTGTGAATGCTGTGTACCTGCTCCACTGTCTGTCCTTTGACGATGTACTCGTTGCCCACTTTGACCCTGGGGTTCAGCAGACCCTTCAGCAGATCTGCAGAGCTGATGCCCATCAGGTATGCTGCTTTGTCCACACCTGGGCACAGACACATGTACACTTCAGACACAGAACACACACATAATACAAAGGTACACCATTTTCTCCACAACAATTAAATACCTAGAGGTGGAAGAAGCACTCAGTGTTGTTACTTAATGGTGCATTATGTAACTTTTATTTATGTCCGTCACCTCCTTGTTTCTAAGAATATATTGCTCTGCCTGGAATGTTCCACAGTATGACATTAAACAGCTCTAACTTACATTTATTCAATTATAGGTGGTTTTATGACTAAAAAATTCTAAGAAAACAGTCATTCTGGCTGCAAGTGGGGTGGCCTCTCCACAGATCTGACCTATAACTTAATCTGGTTTGGTCTCCATGGCGTTCTATACTGTGAAACATTCCAGACAAAGCAATAACATTGCCATAAAGACCCTCCACTAGAAAAGTTACACAATGCAGCTATAAGTAAAAAAAATACTCAAGAATAAATCTACTCAAGTAAAAGTAAATGATTTAAAATACTTAAAAAGTAAAAAGTAAAAGTATTTTGTGGAGATTCTGAGACCCTCTAAGGCCTAAGGCTTCAAATGTAATGATTTTGATAAAGATTTGTGATGAAACAACTGAATCAATACATTTTTGTTTGCTCCAAAGTGCAAACATGTTAAAAATAAACCCCTCAGGTCTCAAACAATGACAAAAAATACTTTTACTTTGTTATGTTCTACCACTGCAAATATCTGAGTAACAAAAGACCAAAAACAAAATAATCACAGCATTTCAACAGGATGAATCAGACTCACTCTCTGTCCCGTCAGCCTCAGCCTGCTCCTCTCTCTGTTTCTTCTTGAACTTCATGTTTCCAAAGTGCATTATGGCCCCCACTATTTTATAACAGCCGTACTTTTCCTCCACCGTGAAGCCCAGGATGTCCATGGCATGCTGCAAAACAAAAGTGAGGTTTAACAAAGCTGTGTTCAGTGAACAAAAAGATGATTGTTAATGTATTGCTTTATCTGGAAAAGGCATACAAGCATCTTCACTATAATAGTTATGATTTGATTGATGATTATGATTAGAGTTATAATGTAGCGGGCTCTCGCTCTCCCAATTGTGCTTTGTGTTTTGTTCGTCAAAAATGTGTTTGTCTGAATGTTCTTCTCATCAGTCTATGATCTATGGTTATTGTAGTGGTTGCTGATTATGTTATTTGTTGTGTCTGTGCATGTAAATGTTGTCCTTTCTTGTACTTTCATGTTTGTCCTGTCTTGTCTACACATGGGGTAGAGAGAAACATAATTCTGATTCCTTTGCACACTACCAGTCAAAAGTTTTAGATCACCACACTTTCATCATCATCATTCAATCATCAAAGTTTCCACCTTTGGCAGATATAACACCTGAACACACTCGTGGCATTCTTTTTACAGTATAAATCAAATATTCTTCAGAAAGTTCTTCCCAAGTCTGTTAATTTAAGTAAAGACTACTCGATTGTTTTTAAATGTAGAATGCTTCAATTTGTGGCATTGTTTTAATATTTACTATCTCTTAAAATTTGCATTAGAATTAGCATTGAGACACTAACCTCTACCTCTCTAAAAATAGAAGTGTCCTCCCTTGAAGAATTCATTTTATTTATGTAGTTTTTAACATGTCAGTCCACATCTACCCAGAACTCTCTGTTCACTACCTTATCTTTAAATATTTAATCATGTTAGCGTGACTTGCCAAAAACTTCATAGAGATAAAAAAGGACAGGAAGTAGTCACACTAACAGGTTTAACATTAACTCGTTTTCATTTTTGAATAACAATGTTTAGTACATGCATATTTGATGTTTTGTTTAAAGATGTACTATGTAACTTTTTATGTGGTTAATACTGAATCTTAAAGTCACCCGCTCTGGTTTAGGTTAGCTGAATAGAGTTTGATTTGACTCTTACATCAGTGAGTTTAAGCTCCTCTCCGTCGTTGATGCTTTCCACAGTGGTTACCCCCTGAGAACAGAAGTGGTAGTCATACGGGTTTGTGGTCACCAGCAGCATATCTGTGAATTATGAAAATATCAACAATAAATAAAACAGTATTAACAATTGCTTTAACATAATACATTTATTTAAAGGATTGTGTTGCTCTGGTTCCTGACTGGACAGTAGTAATGAAGGGGTGGGGCTTGGATGTTTTTGTACACTGCTGTTGAGTGAGTAGGGTCACCTTGTAACTCTGGCTTCTGATTGGACAGAATCTGGTAGTAAATGTGGTAGCTCCTCTCTCCCGCCTGCTGAAACACGACTCTAGACTTTTCCAGGAGATCTGAGACAAAACATACAAGCTCAGTAGTCAAGTAAGATGTAATAAACACTTATATAGAATTTAAGATAATGAGATAGGGAAAACAATTAAAACATATGCACAATCTTTTGGTAATAAACACACTCACAGATGTCAATATCAGCTGAAGCCAGTTTCCCAGTTGTTCCAAAGTGAATCCGGATAAACTTTCCCTTAAATGGAATATATAATAATGATTAATGATAATATTAATTCCCCGCACTGTAATGGCTTGGGGTTCAGTACAAAATGACTCATACAAAGCGTGAAGAGTTGTCATTGCGAATGGTCTTGGCGTTTCCAAAGGCCTCCATGGCAGGGTTAGCCTCAATGATCTGGTCCTCGAGAGAACCCTGAAAAAGTCCAGAGAACAGAGTAAGAGCAGATCTGGACCAACTTTTATCAATCAAGTGTGTTAAGACATTAAGATGTTATTTCTATGACTTTTCAATATTAGCGTTAACAATATTATTAGTAATTAATATTATTACACAGAAAATATTGAAGGGGGGGTCGTTGTGTCCTTAGGCAAGACACTTCACCCACATTGCCAAGTATGAAAGTGTGGTCAGAGGCAGTGGTGTAGTTTGGATTTTTTAAGTGGGGGTACGTGATTTGTGATGTCATGAACCCCGCCCACCTAACCCCCCCAGTCTACGCGGGCGCATCGCTGGGCCCGTCCCACCACTCAGTCCTGGTTCAGTTCTGGTTTAGTTCTGGTTTAGTCCTGGTTTAGTCCTGGTTTAGTCCTCGTTTAGTCCTGGTTCAGTCCAGGTCCCCTCATATCACAGGTCACTATAGGACAATACTGGATACATCATAAGTTTTCACCATTGCTAATAGCTCCGGTTTGATATTTAAGTGGTAGGATTTTTTATATTTGTTATTTTTTATATTTTACATCGGGAGAAGTGGGTGGACGGCGTACCCCCGCATACCATGCCCACTACACTCCTGGTCAGAGGGCCAATTGTGGAGATTGTCAACCTTGCTTCCATCAGTCTACCCCAGGGCAGCTGTGGCGAAAACAGCAGCTTGCCACCACCGAATGTGTGAATAACGCACTGTAAAGTGCATTGGGTGTCTTGAAAGGTGTTATATAAATCCAAAGATCAATGCATTAATAAGTTTTGACCCTCACAAGATAATATCTATCAAGAAAAAAGGGACCATTTTGATTTTTATTTAAATCCCACAAACATGACCTAATTGTGTCCCCAGAAGCGAAATAGCTATAACTGAAGAGTTGTTTTTACTCACTCCTTTCTTGATGTTCTCTCCTAAGGCTGCGATGATGGCAAAGTACTGGATCACTCTCTTTGTGTTGACAGTTTTCCCAGCACCAGACTCACCGCTGAGATAAAACAGTGAGAGATAGATGAGAACATTCAACCAGGATTTATTACACATTATGAAAATATGGATTAAAATAACAAACATACGTGATCAGCATGGACTGATTGTCACGATCTAAACAAAAGAGATTTAAAAAAAGTGATAAATACATGGGTACAACAGACACTCATTTCATGGAACACTGCGTAACTTTTCTAGTGGAGGGTCTGAAACCTTTCCCTGGAATGTTTTGTGGTGTGACATTAAACATATCCATATAACATTTATTGTTTATGTGTGTTTCTATTGCTTAAAAATACAATAATCCTTTCTGTGAATAGGGGAGACTCTCCACAGATCTGAATTGTAATGTAACATAGTACTGTAACCTGCTTGTCTAGATAGGTTTAATCTATACTATGGAACTTTCAAGATAAAGCAATAACATTTCCATGGAAACAAGCAGCTCTCCACCAGAAAAGTTGTGCAGTGCATCTTTAAACTTACTCTGCAGCAGATCAGTGTAAGCGTTGTCGGCGATGGCGTAGATATGGGGCGGAGTCTCAGTTCTGCGACGCCCCTTATAACCTGTGATGACCTGCTGAGTGTAAACTGGAAGCCACTTATACGGGTTCACAGTGACGCAGAAGAGACCTGAGTACGTCTAGAGCACATAGAGAGAACATGAAAGAGTGATGCTACTTGAAGGGCCCATATCACGCTATTTTCTGATCCTTGTTATAATAGCGTTTCCTCATCAAAAACATAACTGGAGCTGTGTTTTTTTCATTCACATATTTATTCCGTAAATCCTACATATTTATGCTGAGTTCTTCTCTCATGATATGTGGTGAATCAGGTAGTGCTCCATTGTGTTTTTAAACTTCATACACCATTATTAGAATCGTTTGGGTGATTTCAACCCTTGAATTTTCAATCTCTACTTAACAGAGGGTAAAAGGAGCTGTTGTAATAATAAAGGGTCAATCATGTGTGAACGAAACAAAACACAACTTCAGGTATGATTTTGAGGAGGTAACAACATTATAACATGGTTTAAACTTCACAAGAAACGTACTATAGGCCCTTTAATGTTTTGGTGTGAACTTATGGTGTGGTATTTGAATTAAATGCATAGGTCATAAAGCTGAGTTTTTGTTTCTGTGTGTTTATAGGGCTCAGAGTGTATGCTTCTTACATAAATCATCCACATGGCGTATCTTCTCTTCAGGTTGAACAGCACTGATGGCTCATTGAGGTGAGTTAACATGGCCATGTCTTCAATCATGTCAAACTTTGGAGGATTCATTGGCTGCAGGTCGTCCTCCTTAACTAGCAGGAACTGAGCCATGAACAAGAGCCAGTGTTAGGACCATGGGGAGGACCAGACCAAGAACAGAGTCAAGATCAGATCAGACCAGAACCAGAGTTATAGAGGACAGAGTTGCATGTAAAATCCCTCAGTCATCCAGGTAGAATACATGGCAAAGGAGATTCAATTTGTCAACTGGACAAAACTGTTGAGTTCTGTTCAGAAGAAGCAGATTCTTCAGTTCTGAACTTTCCAGTAGACAAATTGAATATTGTTTACCAGAGTACAGAGTTATTTCATAAACTTTAAAACATGAGACTAGGGATCTTGTTAAAATGATAGACAGATAGATGGAGAGACAGAGACAGAGACAATGACAACGAGTTTAGCATGTAGAGTGTGATTTACCCGTCCATCCTTTGTCTCCACAGTGGATTTGTCCCCATTTAATTCTCGGATCTCGACCTCGACATAGGCCTCCACCTCATCAGCCATCCACACCCTCTTAGTTCCTTCAGAGAACAAGGAAAACAGGTCTAAACCAAAACTATACCAGGTCTCAATAAGGACTAAACATTGTCTAAATCAGATAAAGCCACTTTAAATCAAGCCTAGGCCCGGTCTTAACTAAATCAAGGCCTAAATCTTACCATCAAAGGCCTGGGCCTTGGCTGCCAGCTGCTCCAGGTTTGTAAGCCTGAGGAAACGAGCGGCTTCCCCAAACTCTGCCATGTCGAGAAAGCGCGACATCTGTGAGAGAGAGAAGAAGGTGAAGAAGGAGAAAAGCTCAGAAGAACATGGAAGACTCAGACATGTCACTGTAAACATAAAGATTAATGTTCATGTCAACACAGACTAAAGGACTAAGGTGAGAAGGATGTATTTGGTGTTTGTATTACTCTCAAATACTTGTCAGCATTTTCACGGCAGTACATTTCAATACAACTAATAACTAATGACAGAGACAAGACTCCCACCAATCATGTCAAGGCACTAAACACCCACAGTACATTTGCCTGTCCAATCAAAACACACAGGCTTTGAAAAGAATGTAGGAGGAATTGGCATCCAGTAAATCAGCTGCTGCTACAGTTATTAGTTCCTGAAATAGAATATATTTGTTTTAATAACACCGATGCTTTACTCACTCATTGAGGCATTCTGAGAAACAAATATATTTTACCCTCTGTTATGCAAATTTTTTGGATTAGTCTGACTCCACTAGTTCGGTCTAAGGGGTATTTTTAGACCAGGTCCAGATCTCGGCCTAATGGTCTTTGTCTTGCTCTGATGAACAGCTCCATGTGGCTCTGTGTGCACAGCAGCTGATACCCCACTGAAATCCCTCTAAACCTGGAATAAACCTGCTCTATGGCTGCTTCTAAGCCCTTGGACAAAATCTATCTCGTGCTAAACCCGCAGAGCTGGAATGCCTCTGGGCTCACATCAGACCTGGTCTTGGGTCAGGCCTGGTCCCGGATCAGACCTGGTCCTGGGTCAGACCTGGTACAGGTTTCCTGATATGATATTTAATGACATGAGATCCAAGCACACACAGAGGCTTGGGGCCAGTGTTGTATTTATGGACTTCATCAGCCCCAGCTGATGAAGAAAGAGACTGGAACCAGTTTTGACTTGCTTCAAAGCCTCCACAGGTGAACTACTGCAGTAATCCAAACTACTGAACTGTACATTTCATTTTCAGTCTTTAGAAAAAAAAACGAAAAAAAAACTTGATGTTTCAGTTTAGTCCAGCACACCCTTCCAGTGGTTCACCTGTGCAGGTGTGGTTGAGGTTTAACACATATCCTTTGATAAAAAAAATAACTAAACCTAAAATATAAAGTCTTAAGAATGGATGATAGAAAATTGGCTGAAAACATGCAGAAATTGTAAAAGAAAAGATTTTAACAAATAAATACATTTAAATACAATTCTTTTGTTGGTCTAATTGGATCCATGTTGCATCCAAGTGCATCACTCTACATCCTTACACTCACCTTGCTCTGCTGGTTCTGGTCCCAGTCTAGTCCTGATTTGTGTTACTGTGGTATTGGTTTGGACTGGTTCTGGTGGATTTTCCAGATCCAAGTCTGGATTGGACACTTCTCTCTGGCCTTTATAACCTCATGTTGATGGTCATGTGACCTGAGCGCTGTGTTTTGATTGGTTGGTTCAGGGGAGACCTGTAAAAGGCTTTGTCTCTATCTTTGGAGGCTGACCACATTTTACTGTCCATCCGTCCATACAGCACCCTCCAATGATATTGTGTCCTTTAGATTTATTATGGACTTCATTTCTATACTTCTGCAGTTCTTCTCTATCAGGGATTCATGAAGATTTTTGGTCACTGGAACCATTTTCCTGACAGTACAAAGGAACTAGATTGGTACATGTCCTTTTCAGTGTTGAATGATGAAAAGTCTTTTCCCTACGTTGAAAAAAAAAGACAAAAGATTTTATTTCATATCAAAGTGGGCTGTGTTTACATTTTTCATTGTTTCCCATTGATATTTTATGCAACATCTCATCTAAAAAATTGAGATACCCACATACTTGATACTTCATATACTGCACCACATAATATCACTGAGCCTGTATATATGTGATGAAACACTTATAACATACACATAAATCTGTCTCATGTGTGTGCTCTGTCTGCAGTTATTAGATAGTTCCTCTTTATATGATCTATATTTGAGAAATGAACCTGTTCAGTCACTCACCACAAACTTACTCTCTGTCCTCCATCCCTCCATCCCTCCATCTCTCCTCCCTTTGTCAGGCCCAGTGCATTTCTGTAACCCCACCCATCCCTCTCTCTCCTTCTGTTATTTTACTACTCAGTCAGAGATCGAAGTATTGTAATGGACACCTCTCCTACACACACACACCTCTCTCTCTCTTTCTCACCCCCCCTCTCTCTCTCTCTGTCCTTGTGTGTTTGAAGATCCATCATCAGCTGTTCCTCTCTTCCTCTTTCTAGTCTTTCTATGTTTTGCTGCATGTGGACCTGTGTCTGTACTGTCACTCTCCTTCCCTCCATCTCAGATCAGCTGTCTGTTTGTAATAAACCCTGGGTCTGTCTGTCATGAGTGAATTATGACACTGCTGAAATGCTGTTTGTCTCAATTACTAACACACAGTGAGGTTTCCAAGAAGCACAAACAAAGACGGGACAATGGCCTCTGTAGATTCAAGGGACCACCAGAAGGAGGACCAGGAGCTTCAGAGAGGTGACAGAGTGCAGCAAAATGGTTTTAGGCTAGATTCCTGGATTAATGTGAGTGTGAGTGTGTAGTTGGTTATCCTCCAGTTCTTTAAAAAATATTTTTAAAAGTACATGCTGAACAGATCACTGTATGTGCTGACCTGAATTTGAAATTATGTATTTATTTCATGTGTGAACACTTCTCTTCAGGCACACTGATGGGGAGAGAGAGCTGTTCTATGATACGTTCATAACATGTACCCAGCTGTCATCATGGTGATGTGATTTCAAGACATTTTATAAAAGTATGTTATTGTTTTTCCACCAAAAATGACAGCAGGGTTGGGCAATATGGCATAAACACCCCATTTCCCATGGTGTTGATGTAATAAAAACATTTCTTTTTATTCAGTTTTAAATCCAATCCAATTTATTCCTGCCAATATCTTTCCAAACCACACTATTTTCTACCACAGAATAGGCCACTAGACCATGTTAACAAAAAGCAATTTGAACAATCTGCAAATGATTTCATTTAATAAGAGAGGAATGGCGAGATGAGGGCCAAACCTCTAAACCAGGAATAAAACTGAATATCTGTTGCAGCTTCACTTTTCTGGGTTAACTCTTTTGTGTCTTTAGTGGTGTTTGTGTCTCAGTTACAAGGCCTAATCTGCCCTGTGTTTTCTGAGAACTTTTGCTCTAAATAATTCTCAAACAGATTCACAGAAGCCCTTTAGACACACACACACACACCTTCCTGCCATGTGCCCACACATATGTGACATGGTCCATACCTCCACACTAATCCACTCAACTATTTATACTCTGTCCTTTCAAAATAAGAGCGTGATGTAAAGCTGTTGTATGAAGTTAATCCATAGCAGATCTGAGAGCACTGGAAAATCATGTGACAGGCTAACTCCATAAACCACAAGCAAAACTATAATGGGAGGATAAATACTGTACAAGCCTACTGTACACAGTCATTACATAAGATGTGTTCTAATCAGGATGTCAGGGAGAGGCCCTAAAGGTGCACTAGGTAACTTTGTGCTTGGGGGTCCCTCACCAGCTTGTTTCTATGGATATGGTCACCGCTCTGCCTAGAATCTTCAACAGTGTGACATTAAACAGCTCCACCTAACGTTTATTAAATTACAGGTGGTTTTACAGCTCAAAAATGGCTAAAACAGGCAGTCAGCATCAGCAGAGATGCCTCTCCACAGATCTGACCTGTAACTTGGTCTGGTTTGGTCTCCAGGCAGATAGAAAGGTTTAATGTCATACTGTGAAACATTCCAGGGAAAGAAATAACATCTCCATGGAAACAAGCACTTGACAGATCCACCACCAGAAAAGTTACACAATGCACTTTTAAAAGAAACTGTGCTTTTTACAACATAACAGTCAGGCTAGGTCAGTAAGAGACTTTGCCCACATAGGCTGCTAGATCGACCTCTTTCCTTGAGCAAGACGTCTTATTATTAATAGTAGAGATGGATACACGGACTGTATAAAGAAGTTTTACAGTCTATGGGTGGGAGTACTTATATTTACTCAGTTACATTTAGAGTACTTTTCTAGCTGCATACTCCTAGTTCAGTAATATTTTTACTGAAGTAACTACTCTTATTTGAGTAAAGGTTTTCACTGTGAGTAAGTCTACTAGTGACAAATCTGACAATATTGACGACAATATGAAATTATAAATTTCGTTAGCCTAATAGCATAGTTGCCTAAGTCATATTTGAAAGTTTTCGGAAGAAAAGAAAAAAACACATTTTTTAGCAAGCACATTGGTATTTTTTATTAATACTGTACAGAGATGACTAAGGAAGAAAGTGATTTTAGACTCTAACAAGCATTCTGAGGTTGAGGACACAGGCAATAAGGCAGTATGATGCAGCAGTGGTAGGAGAGTAAAGTAAAGGCAGATATCACAATTTGGCCAAAAAAAAAAAAAAAAAGACTCAGACAATTATGCTATTAGGCTAATGATTTGTGATTTTTGCACTGTTCCTTCAGATATGATTTAGTTTTTCAAATTTTTCAGTCTGTACTACGAAAATCCCACATTGTATGCAATATATAAAGGTGCACTGTGTAACTTTTCTAGTGGAGGGTCCGCCATCTGCTTGTCTCTTTGGAAATAATTTTATTGCTTTGTCTAGAATGTCCCACAGTATAGATTAAACCTACTGTATCTATCACGAGGAAGACAAGCAGGTAACAGCACTACACTACATTACAATTCAGATCTCGTAATGGATATGTTTAAAGTCATATCATGGATTCCAGGCAAAGGAATAACATCTCCATGGAGACAAACAGGTAGCAGGTCCTCCACCAGAAAAGTTGAGCAATGCACCTTTATGTAGTAGATTTTCCAACTTAGTCTTACTTGAGTATTTTCTTTTACCTCTGCTTCTATGTGAGTAATATTATTTTGAAGTAACTGACTCTTACTTGAATACTATATTTGGCTTCTCTCCCCCCGATTATGTTTTGTGTGTGTTGGAGCTTACAGATGCTGTGAGCAATAATGGGCTTCAAACACCTTTCTCACTGATGCAGACTTGTCACAATAGGTTTGGATTGTGGGCTTCAAGCTGGTTTTGGTCTCCTTCTGTTCAGATCCTGATCCGGCCGGTCCCTCAGAGCAGAACAGCTGTAGTTTATCACTGGAGTTTATCATGTTATGTGGACCCTGACACTTCAGAGTGCCCCCCCAGGACCACATTCCTCCTGGCTCCAGCTCAAAGCTCCAAAATCCCACTGGAACTTGGGACCGAAAGGGGCACATGGCTCGGACACATCTGTGACGTGAACAATAGACGACGTTATTTATAGGCCTGACTCACTGCTACTGTAAAACTACTAGGCTACTTTACCTCAGCACAGTTAAAATGTTATTTATCCAGTTAGCCTAAACACTTTTAGCCCTTGACTGTATAAAGAAGTGGAATATGGGAGTGTAACGTCACCCAGACAAATGAAGCTCACGAGGCTCACTCCTCACGAGGAGCAAATTTAGAGCCAGTTCCATATCAGAAACAGGAATTTATTTAGGACAAATAAAAAAATAAAAAAACACCAGGATCATGTAGAGCAGGTTAATATGAACATTTTAGACCAAAATGAGGAGTTTCACAAGAGCAGTTACGGAGAAAGGGATGACGTTTTTGTGAATAGAAACCTTTAATAGATCCGTGATTGGAAACAGAGTTGATAGAACCGGAAGTGCGCCCGTGCTCACTTCCTGTTTGGGATGCGGCAGCTAAACATGTTAGTATAATAAATCTTATCCAACCCAAAACATGCTAGACAGGTCTTCAGGAAGAACAGTTGACAGATAAGGCCAATTAAGTACAATCAATCAATGAACCTGCCGCAGGGACTACAGGTGGAAATTAGCACTGGTGCTACAATCTGGTCCAATGCACCTCTCTTGTTAAGGTTAATGTAAAAATTGTCACTCATTAAATAAATAAATATATAAATAAGTAAATAAATAAATTAAGTTCTTATTATAGAACTCTACGCCTAACGAAAAAAAAAAAAAATTGGTGGCTAGCAGGTTAGCTAAGTCCATTTATACAGTCTAAACTTTTGCCCAAGTCTTTAAGTATTTTTAAACTGGATTATAAACTGTTAAATCCAGTGTTCCAGGAGCCAAATGTAACTGTACATTTTAGTAAACTGCTACTTACTTTTTTTTTAAACTTGTAGTCCCACTGCTTTGACCAATATTCCTGATAATTGATTGGAACTTGTTGCAGCGGCGTCCTCCAGTCAATTATTCCTCATCACCAGTAGGGGGCAGACTGGTAGCGAGTCCTCTCAGAAATTTGCATATCCTAGAAACACACCCATTCATTTTCACATTCAATTCTCCAGCTCATCTCATCTCAGCTCATGTAGCCTGTGGACATTTCACTGTTGTCTGCACCACTCTAGAGCAGAAATCCAACCCACAACCTCCGGCCACATCACGTTATCATTGGAGACCCTGGTATGATTATTTTGTCTTTATTTTTTAATAATAATAATAATTAAAGCTTTTAGTATAGCCAGGGTGACAAAAACTATTTTAGTATAGCCAGGGTGACCAAACTATTTACTATTTACAGTCCCAGTTTTGAGCTCTGTGTCCCCTGTCCCATCAGATTTATCCAAAACCAGTGATCTGTCCCAGTTTTATACAAGAAATGTCCCAGGTGTCCCTATTTTTGACCAATCTGATACCTGCCTACAGTAAAGAGAGGCATAAATTGTAATTTGTGTAGGTAAAATACAGAAAAGACAAGGAAAATGTGACTATACTGACTCACATGATTGCCGAGTGCATAAAAATGTTCCTTAATTATGCACTCGTTTTACAATTGTATTATTACCAACCCAAACCAGGGATGTCCCAGTTTTTTATTTTGTATATTTATATTTAATCTGGTCACCCTAAGTATAGCACTACTATTTCCCAGTTTCCTGAACGCAACTCGCTAACGATGAGTGTCTTTGCGCATGCGCTGTGTGAGTTCTTCCTGTTTATATCTGCTGTTTTACTTCACGGTGATTTTCCCGATAATTAACATGTTTTGAGAGTAAATCTGCTTCTGATGTGAGGCTCGTGGACGCGCAGAGATGGCGTGCACGGCGGGATGCACGTTGTTGCTCGTGCTCGTGCTCGCGCTTGGAGCTGCACTGAGAGACACGCACGCGCGGGAGTTCACGGGGGAAGAGATGGAGACGATCAGGTACCACCACAGACACCTGCTCCACATCTTCAGTCCTGCCACTTAAATGTGCACTACGTAACTTTTCTGCTGCTGCATCTGCTACTTCCTTGTCTCCATGGAGATGTTTTTTATTGCTTAAAAATACCTTGAAAAACACGAATTCTTACTGTGGACAGGGTCACCTCTCCACAGATCTGACCTGTAACTTGGCGTAATTGTAGGGTGACCATATTTTCAAAATCAAAAGCTGGGACATCCCTGGTTTGTAGTTATTGGTAGGAATAAAATTGTGGGGAAAAATGCATAATTAAGGAAAACTGTTCTGCACTTGGCCCATTCATGACTAACATGTGGTCAGTATAGTCACATTTTCTTTGTGTTTTGGTCATTTTAAGCAACTTTTCTATATTTTACCTAAACAAATGTCAATGTATGCCTCTTTTTAGTGTTGGCAGGGATCAAATTGGTCAAAAATAGTGACACCTGGGACATTTCCTGTATAAAACTGGGACAAATCACTGGTTTTGGATAAATCTGCTGGGACAGGGGACACAGGTCTCAAAGCTGAGACTGTCCCGGGGAAATAGGGATGTCTGGTCATCCTACCTAATTGGGCTACCTGCTTCTCCCCATGGAAATAGATAAATTTAATGCCATACAGGTGCAACAATAACATCTCCATTGAGACCATCAGCAGGTGGCAGACCCTCCTCCACGAAAGTTAAATGCATCTTTAACAGCAGTACCAATGCAGGGTTCACTGAGCTGTGTTTCGAAACAACAACCTGAGCGTACATGTTAATAAGAATAAACCCTCTTAATTATGTAGGAAGAAATATGAGGCAGTTACAGGGACAGTCAGACCAAAATAATACATAAAGTATAACCAAAAAGAGTGAATGAAAGATTAGGACAAGCATGAAACCAGGACTTAATCTTTGTTCTTCTTTAGGTCCAGGATCCGGACCATGTTTTACCATGCCTACAACAGTTACCTGGACCATGCGTTCCCCTACGATGAGCTCCGCCCCCTCACTTGTGACGGACAGGACACCTGGGGCAGGTAAAGCAGATATATACTCCTCATGTAGTTGTGTGTGTATGATTCTTTCCTCTGGTGTGACTGACTCTTAATTATTGTGTCTCCCTTCCAGTTTCTCTCTCACTCTAATTGATGCGCTGGACACTCTCTTGGTGAGTCCCTCCACACACTAATCAGATCCCACCACTGACCAATGGAGTTCAAGTGTCCTCCCACTCCCCAGAATTAAATTTCTCATTCATTATTCCCATAGACTTTCTGAATTTTAATTTTTTTTTAAAGTTTGATAGCTTGCTCAGGACTAATCAGCTCTGTGGTAGCTAATGGCCACAAGACCTATACATTTATTTATTAAACTGCGGCTTTATTAAAGCATTTTGCAAAATCTTGCATTGGTCTTGTCTTTGAGCTCTTTAATAGTAGAATTTTTTTGAAAAGGTCTATTGGAAAAATGAATGGAAAATTTACTTCCGGAAGCAGAGCAGGCTGTCACTATTGAACCCCATGACAGCCCAGCTCTGACCAATCACAGCCAGACACTGACAGAAGCAACCAATCACAGCCCAGAACTAACTAACTGCACCGGGAGATCAACAATTCAGGGCTATTGTCAAGTACTTGTTGTTAATGTCCACTGGGGGGCATTCTTTTGCAGGTTTTGGGGAACAGGACTGAGTTCCAGAGAGTGGCTTCTTTGCTTCAGGAAACTGTTCACTTTGATATTGACGTAAATGCTTCCGTTTTTGAGACCAACATCAGAGGTAAAACCACAGTCCAGTCCTACTTTAACAGAACATGTGAATGATCTTATGTTATGCAAAATTGACTCCTGTGAGCTTTAAGGCATGTTATAATGTTGTTACCTCACCAAAAACATACCGAGAGTTGTAATTGTTTCATTCACACCTTTATTATTAGTTGTCTATGTTTCAAAAGCTCAAAATGATCTGCTCTACTTTAGTTAACAGCTCCTTTTACCATTTTTTTAAATTTTTTTTAGAAGAGATTGGCACTTAAATCATCCAAATGATTCCAGAGAATGGCTATGGAGTTTAAAAACACAATGGAGCATTCCTGTATTACAACATGACATCACAAGGTGGAACAGGTTTTTTTTTGTTTTTTTGAGAGAAGAACTCAGCCTAGATATGCAGGGTTTGTGTGTTAAACATGTATGAATGAAACAAAACACAACTCCAGGTTTGTTTGTGATGAGGAAAGAACATTTTTTAACATAGATCAGAAAATTGCATAATATGGGAGTTCTACATTTGTTTTTGTCCCAAATTTGTTGAGATCCATTAACACATATTAATATTCCTTCTAAACATGTTCAGATGTCCTTGAGCCTGCTCAGTTTGACCTTCTTCATTTCATTCTCAGTTCTGTTCACATCATTATAAACCTGTTATTATCCCTGTGTCTCTTGTGTCAGTGGTGGGGGGTTTGCTCTCCGCTCACCTCCTCTCGGGTCGGGCGGGTCTGGAGTTAGAGCCTGGTTGGCCGTGTTCAGGTCCCTTACTGAGAATGGCAGAGGACGCAGCCAAGAAACTGCTACCAGGTCAGAGATGCAATTAATCAAAAAAAATAGCTGAATCATTTACCTAACATCACAGTAGGTACACATATTAAAATATCAGTATAATACCATATTGATTTTGGCAATATGTATATAAAAAAGAACGTCTGAAAAGTACACTGTAAAGGCATCATTCTGGCAAGGTCAAATTTAGGTCAGATGTGTTTCTTGTGAGCCTCTTATCTCAGTTTTATTGTTTTTGTAAGTCTCTAAGTCTCTCTCCCCAGCCTTTGAGACCCCCTCTGGGATGCCGTATGGGACTGTGAACCTGCTGCGTGGGGTCAGTCCCTCTGAAACCCCTGTCACCTGTACAGCTGGAGTGGGGACATTCATCCTGGAGTTTGCGACTCTGAGCAGACTCACTGGGAACCAAACCTACGAGGACCTGGCCCACAAGGCTCTGCAGGCTTTGTGGCAGACCAGGTCCAGCATTGGACTGGTACTGACCTGGGACTCATCCAGAACTCAACCAGGACTTAACCAGGACTGAAGCAGGACTAACCTCTGACTGTTCTGGTCCTCAGGTGGGGAACCACATAGACGTTGTGACTCAGAAGTGGGTGGCTCAGGATGCAGGGATTGGAGCTGGAGTCGACTCATACTTTGAATATTTGGTGAAAGGATCCATCCTCCTCCAGGACCCTGGACTACTGCATATGTTCCATGGTATGGCTCAGAGACACTGAGAGATATAATTTGTCCAGGAAATGAGTCTATCAGCAGCTCATGTTTAGATTTGTAATAGATAAAAGGAGCGCAGATGGTATGGGCAGAAGTGAGACCTACTCTGAGGCCTTGAGCAGAGTTTTTCAGTCTAACCCAGCATGACCTAACCAGAAAATCACGGGAGAAACCGCAAAGAGCCACTTATTTAGAGGCATTCATTTATAGATGAGAAGAAGAAATTAGGTCTATTGTGCATGAAGATTGTGTAATGGCTGATGCAATTCTTACTGTTATTTATTTCAGAATATGACAAAGCAATCCAGAACTACACTCGGTTTGATGATTGGTACCTGTGGGTCCAGATGCACAAAGGCACAGTGTCCATGCCAGTCTTTCAGTCCCTGGAGGCATTCTGGCCCGGCTTACAGGTAAGATCTGTGGATGAATGGGACCACAGGGCAAACACAGCTGAAGAGATAGACTAAATCTTTGTCCTTTAGTCTTTGATTGGAGATCTGGAAAGTGCAGTGAGGACCTTCCAGAATTACTATTCGGTCTGGAGACAGTTTGGAGGTCTTCCAGAGTTCTACAGCATCCCACAGGGTTATACTGTGGACAAGAGAGAAGGCTACCCTCTTAGACCAGGTAAGAAATAAATGTGATTTACGCACTTACCCACAATAATTGTATTAAACTTGTGTTTGTATAAGAATGTGTTTCTGATGTATTTAAATATATTTGGGGTTTCAGAGTTGATAGAAAGTGCCATGTACTTGTTCCGAGCCACTGGGGATCACATGTATCTGCAGATGGGCCTGGACGCTCTGGAGTCCATTGAAAAGATCAGCCGCACACCGTGTGGATATGCCTCGGTGAGAGTTGTGCTATTACAACTACATCTATTACTACTAGGGCTGGGTGATGTTCGCGCTAGATTATTAATATTAATAGTAGTTTCTTATAATACCAAATTTAGACTAGTTCTGACATGGACAAAACCAATTCCTAAAGTATTCAGAGCAAAGATACTGAAAAAAATATTGTTCGTGTACTAGTACTTAAAAAATAAAAAAAATAAAAAATAGGCACCCACCCCTAACCTCCACTGTTGCTCCTACTGCTGGTACGATCCTACTGAATCATGCATAAACTTTGATATCTGTAATCAGGTGAAAGATCTGAGGGACCACCAACTGGACAACAGGATGGAGTCCTTCTTTTTGGCAGAGACCATTAAATACCTTTACCTGCTCTTTGACCCCACCCACTTCCTGCATGGGGGCGGACCATGGGAAGAAGGGGCCGGGTTTTCTGGAAGGTGTGTGCTTGGGACAGGTGAGTTACTTTCAAGCACATTTGAGTTGTGTAGTATTTACAAACACAATTTACAAGAATGTTTTTTAACAGGAGCCTACATCTTCAATACTGAGGCCCATCCCATCGATGCTGCTGCTCTGTACTGCTGCCACAGCCACGAGTCTGACCAATCAGAGATCAGGAACATTCTCCTAGGTCAGCCCACTGGCCAATCATCTACCAGCCAATCACACAGCTCAAACCTTAGATGTCCAGTTCAACCCTTCAGCTCAAGACTTGCAGTTAAGGGACAAGTCTTCACGGAGAACAATTAAAACACATGTGGACCAAAACCAAACTGGGACTGAACCAGAGCTATAATAATATTTAAACAGACTTGGTTGTTTATATTTAAAGATAATGTGGGTTACATTTGTTTTAAATTTAAATAAAGTCTATTTTATTTTTCTTAAACAATGTATTTATTTAAGCGTTCATCTGGGAAGTGGAGGGGTACAGTTGTGTTGTCGCTCCCATCGCCTAATAATACTCCAGTCACAATACTGTAGCTGACATTAAAGCTCCTACGTAGAATTGAGTTTTGTGAGATTTAAGCCATGTTACTTCACCCAGAACATACCTGGAGATGTGTTTTGTTTCATTCACATGTTTGAGTAACCCTCTATTTTTAGTCTGACCTCTCCAAAGCTCAAAATGCTATGTTCCACCTTGTAATGTCATGAAGCAGTAGCTTTCAAGTTAACTGCTACATTTTACTTTTAGTTCAGTAGAGATTGGCAATTTCCAGGCTGAAATTATCCAAATGATTTTAGTGAAGGTGTATGAAGTTTAAAAACACAATGGAGCACTTCTTGTATTACCACATGACATCACAAGATGGAACAGAGTGTTTTCAAGTTCGAGAAAGAACACAGCCTAAATATGCTGGATTTGTGTGTACTAAAACGTGTAAATAATAATACAAAACAAAACTCCAGGTATGTTTTTGATGAGGAAACAACATTAAATCAGAAAAACAAAACATAAACGACATGAGAATTTAGACTTAAAATTTAAACAGATTTATTTACAAAAATACCACAAACAAACCCTTTTCATCCTGATATGAACTGCTCCTCTGTCACTGTGATGCCACTACTAGCATAATATTTGTGATTTATTAGACTCCATAAGTTGTAAATAACTACAGTACAGTTGAGATGAAACATTAAATTTGTTCTTATGCGTAATTACCTGCACTGCATGCCTGTACATCATTTTACCACAGTTTGTTAGCAACATAAAGGTTGAGTTAGGTTCACAAACAGCCTCAAACAGCAGAACATTTTGCTTCATATCCTAGCTGACACAAAGGTACTATTTTCAGCCACAAAGGATCAGTAAAGGGACATTTTAGTGCTGATCTGGAACATCAAATAAAGCTGTATTCTGTCCTGAGTGAGATCTGCTCCCTCTAAGCACTATACTGTACACAGTTTTTAAATACACTATCGTACTCTGTGTTATTGTTTCTGGATTTTCTGTGCAGTTATATTCCTCCTCATCCTCTGCACCTTTCGGGAGCAGTGGACCGGAGCTGAGCCTGGATCCTGTTAACTGTAAAACAACTGCTAAATAGTGTTTCTGTCATGATTTTGTGAACTTGCCGAATTGACGAGGTGGTTAAATGACGACGACAGTGATGGAGTCGTCAAAGTGTTGCTGTGGAAACTGTGATGCAGCGGTCACCGTGGAGACGCTCAGACAGTCGCCATGGAGACACTCGGATGGAAACGAGTGAAAGAATGAGCTGGACCACACTCTCACCTCAGTCATCTTTAACAACTGTGAACTGGCAACACAAAAATACTGGTTTAGAGCGAGAAATTAAGACTCTAAGGTGCAAAGAGTACAGTGTGTGTTTTGGTAGGAGTAAACAGAATTGATCTTTCATAAACAGAATACATGTTTCATAAAGATGGGAGTAAAATTTGCAAGATACAAACAGTGTGATGGTGAGGTTCCTCTACTGAGAGAATCTCAGGCTGTAGTGCCATCTTCGTCCAGATGAGGAGAAGAGAGAGGTCTGAGGAGGTGGTGCTGCTAGTTATGGAAATTACGTATATAGATGCATTTGACAGCTCCAGGTCAAGTAAAATGGCCACACACCAAATGAATTACATAAAATAAATAAAAATGTTCCCAAATGATTCCAGAATCAAACCTGGGTTCAGATTTTGACCTGGTTAGAATGTGGTTCTAATGTTTCTGACCTTTAATTTAATCTTATTTTAATTAGATAAAAAATATATAGGCCTATATTGCTGTTAAAACATATATTTCCTTAGCTCACATGAATCTCTGAGCCTTTTGGGCAAACTTTACTTTTCTCTTTCACACTCACATCTGATCTAGAGTAATACCTGAATATTTACACCTGTCTGAAAGCAGAATGTGTCTTGGTTTGATTAGTTTGGACACTAAAAAACTACTAAAATCATGATGTATTTGAATTAATGGAGAAGTATTTCTTTTTTGCAGTGTAGTTAATCTTAATCTGAATTTCGGTTGACAGTGTGTGTATTCACATATTTATTCACAGTTTAGTCCAGGACCCGTTTCCTCTCCTTTAGAAACAGTCACAGAGTTCTCATCAGTATTAGATCTTCTTCTGGTCCACATGAGGTTTGGACTTGGTTCTGATCATCATCTGATATGTGTAAACACAGGTTGTAGGTGCTTTTTCCATGTTTTCAGTTTTGGCTCTGGTTCTAGCCTTAGTTCTGGTCTGGTGTAGACAGTCCTGGTTCTGGTACTTGTTCTGGTTTGATCAGACTGTAGTAACAGACAGGAGCGGACTGGGCCAGCCCTTGCTCCTGTTTTCTGTTCTGGTCCCATGGCTCAGCAGCTCTTCAATGGTGGTCCACTCGTCAAGAATCTGCCTGGTCCTGATGCGGTCCAGGTTCTGGTCTCTCAGGACCATGAGTGGATCCTGGTCCGGTCCAGAACGACTCTGGGAGGATCTGATCCGGGTTTTGTGACCTGGTCTGCGGCGATCTTGGGGAGGTGGGAACAACTCTTCATCAGTGGTGACATCACTCCTCTGATGGACCAATCGTGGAGCTCGATGCCTTCGAAGTGGCCTCTGATTGGGCGATCTGGGACTGGACTGGACTGTGCTGTAAAACTGAGGTGTGGTCTCTCGGTTGGATCTAGTTTTGAGAGTCTGGGAGGTCCGAGTCAGAGGACTGTGATGGTTTTGGTCCAGGCTAAGCTCTCTGGTCCGGTTAGGTTTGACGAAGGCTTGATCCAAGGACTCTCTGGATCTGGTTGTGATTTGGGGGTTGTACATAGAAGGGTTTTGGGGGATTTGGTTGAAGTCCTGGTTTTGGTCTTGGGTTAAGCTGGTTTGTCTGTCATGGGTCGAGCTCCGATCCCATTGGCTGGTTCTGGTTAGGCTCCTCCTCGGTGCAGTGCTGGCCTGGTTAGACCTGGTCTCAGATGGACCGCTCTGGGAGGTCCGGGTCTCTGAAGCCTGGAGGGTGCAGGGGTGGCTGGCTCTCCTCCGATGCTGGTTCTGATTCTGGCTCAGATTTGTGAAAGTTTGGCTCCGGTTTGGTTCTGTTAAAGTTCTGGATCCGTCTTGCAGCCAGAGCGCTCTCCGCTGGCAGGGCTCGGTGCGACAGCCTGTGGGAAAAAAGATGATAATAGATCATCACATTAGAGTTATGTAGGTTTATTGACACAGTATATTAGTGACATGATAGACCCCAGACAGCTGAATCAGTATTCACAGAGCACACACAGTACAGCTGACTCACTGACCAAGGGGTGTGGTCGCAGGTGAGCGCTGTCTCTGTAACCGGGGGCTGTGTTGCCGTGGAGACGTGGGGCTGCGTTCCGGACGGTGAAAGTGGACTGTTGTTGTGGTACTGTTGCCTACGCTGCAGCTAGCCCTGGGCCCCGACTCTGGGATGGACTGCATCTCCCAGAATCCCCTCTGGTCCGACTGTTCATGTGTATAATGAGGAGCAGGACTAAAAAACAGACACAGTAAGACTCATTACAAGTTACTTCATTTGATCACAGAACTACAGAGCAATAATATTCACTTGCAAGTGATGCTGGCTTTTTACCAACATGGAATCATCAGCAAAAGTCACAAAAGCAAAAGAAAAGCATCTTATACAACAATGGTTTATTATGAAATGTTGAACCTAAACTATTCTGACTCACCTCCAGTTCTCAGGGATTGACTGCAGTTCCCAGCGGCCTCTCTGAAGATGCGGGCGATGGTGTCCGGGAGAGGGGCCGACAACTCTAGGGGCGGGGCCTGCAGCTCTGGGGGCGGGACCTGCAGTGCTGACACTGTGGAAGCCTGAATCACTGGGCTCTGACGTCAAAGACGATGTCAAAGAGTCTGAAGGAGAAGAGCCTCGGGATGAAGGAGTGTGGCCTGGGAGCGATGACACAATATCAGTCTCTGCCTCTGAGAGCAGTATCCCTTTGAGGAACTGAGAGGAACTGCAGGGGAAGTCTGGAACCAGACCAGGACCAGGCTGAACCTGGTCCAGATCCATGGCGGGATCAGGCCTGAGGTCTGGTGGAGGCCAGGGACACGTGAACTGAGAAGAAACAGGAATGATAGAGAATGTTATTGACTGATAGCCTGGTAAACCCTCTGACTTTTGAATGTTTTGGTCCTGATCCCCATCCCAGTCTGAGCGGTCAGCAAAAATGTGCTAAAAGACGTATGAGATTACGTATACTAGACTTTATCTGTACAATACTGGCAGAAAGTCAAATACCTTTAAAGCCCAGTCTCCACATATTATATGACTTAAACTATTTCTTGTTTAGACTGATAAAGTACATTTGTGAAATACCACATGATTAAACATGGCAGCTGAAGTCAAGAGGATGTACCTGAGTCTGAAGCCACTCGGGGTCCATCTGGTCCATTTGGTCCAGGCTGTAGGACACACTGGGGACACAGCTGGGGGTGGGAAACTGGTCATGTGACATAAAGGGGTAAAGGTCAGGGGGAATGTAGGGGTCACTGTAGCAAGGCCTCTGAGTCTGACTCATCTCCCAATGAGCTTCCATTGGTCTGTACTGGCCCCGCCCTCTCTCTTCAAGCTGCACTGTGATTGGTTGACCAAATTCATCCCTGAAGTGTAGCTCTTCAGGGCCATGGGAGTGTCGCAAGGGCCGGGGTTTAGGCTGTGGAACACAGAACGCAATCATCCTGAAATTAGTTTTGGTCCATTTTTCTGTAGAATCTCTTATTAAAACAAAATGCATGGAAACGAAAAATGTTGCAGAAGTTCAATATTTCAATGTAGTTTAAATTTAACTACAGCTTAAACGTAAAGTGAACTAAACATTAAATCAGCTACTATTTTACTATTTTTGGGGCATTTTTGCATCTATGCAAACTAGGTATATTTGTTGAGCTGGTTCATGCCAGACTGATATGTGTGTCACTGTGAATTATCAGTCAGGGATGGATCTTATTGAAAACTATTGGAAAACGCGGCACATCATGAAAACAATTTGAATCTGAAGTGCCACAGAACAAGCTGAAAAAAATCTAACTTTAGATAGTAGAATGCCTCACATTCTTCACAAACAAAATAGTCTGTACTGACGTTAAATAAACTGAAGCACTTCTGTCAGCCATGGTTGTTTTGGTTTGCTTGAGCGTGTTCCATTTGGCTTCTGCACAAACCTCAATGCTTCTCTGTGATTAGTCGCTCACCACCTGTCAGGCCCTAACGCACCAGCGAGCACCAAGATTCTCATGAGTTTGTGAACTCATAAATATCACTAGAATCCATCTTGCTGTGCAAGGTTATATATTTTCATCGAGTATGTGCTGCTTCCAGTGGCCACTGCAATTTCAAAAACTTGGTGACATCACACAGCACTGCTCAGTGTTTCTGATTACAAACACCTGCAGGGGCAGAGTTTGAAGTGTGGATATCTGTTAGACCAATCACACTGCTCCTTACACCCCCAGACCCCACCCCTCTTCACTCTTTCCTTCAGTCCACAGGTCCCAAAGTCTAATGCACTATGTAACTTTTCTGAAAGCTTCACAACTTTGTCTCCATGTTATCTCTTTGCCTGGAATGTTACTCAGTATGGCATTAAACTTATATCCACCTCCAGGAAGACAAACAGGTGGCAACACAGCACAGGTCAGATCTATGGACAGGTGAGCCCAGAATGCATCTGCAGAATATTAAATTAATAACAATCCCCATAGGGACAAGCAGGTGGCAGATCATTAGTTTTTACTTTCTGCCCAGGTGTCCCAAAATACCTAGAGGTTTGAAAACATTCCCAATCACAAATGTGAACAGAGAGCGCCGTGGAGGCTAATGTGTTCCAGTGAGTTAAAGAGCACAGGGCAGTACAGCTGTGCTCTGGGGCGGTGCTGGTGGATTGTGGGAAACGTAGTCCAGTGTTGTCCACTGTGTTGGAGAGCACAGAGCAGTACAGCTGAGTGGGTCTGAATGTGTGACAGTGATGTGACCTGACAGCCCACTGCTCTAACACACACACATACACACAGAGAGAGACAAGAGAGTGACCGAGTTTCTTGTCTCTCCTCTAGCTGTGAAACTGCCTTGAGTCAACATCACCCGTCCTCCAAGACTTCCAAGACTAATTTACACTACCACATTTGAGAATATTAAAGGGCTCATATTACACTATTTTCTGATCTATGATATAATGTTGGTAACTTATCATAAACATACCCAAAGTTGTGTTACATTCACACAAATCCTGCATATTCAGGCTGAGTTCTTCTCTCAAATAGAAAACACTGTTCCACCTTGTGATGTCATGTGGTAACACAGGAAGTGCTCCACCATGTTTTTAAACTCCAAACCTTTTCACTAAAATAATTTGAGATGTAGACAGATCAATAAATCAGGCTTACTCAAACATGGGTGAATGAAACAAAACATAACTCCAGGTATGTTTTTGAGGAGGTAACAACATTATTACATGGCTTAAAACTCACACGACCCAATTTTGTGTAATAAACCTTTAATCATAAAATGAATAATACAATATAGCATTAGTATTTCAGTATAGAGATCAGGGGTGTTAAAAAAAATAACAAAAATCAGATACTAAAACCAGTACTCATTTGAGCAAGTACTAAAAAGTCACATCAACAAGATAAAATTGGACCTTCTCTTAACACTTTTAGAATGATCTTGTGCTGTATCAGATCTAGTATAAACCCACGTGTATGTATAATAAAGAAAAAAAAAAGTGTTTAAAAATGACAAAATTGTCCAAAAAAATTACTTTTAAAATTTGGGTATCAAAATCAGTATCGAGTATTTGCAGGGACCCCGAACTTTAACACTAACACTCAGTACTCATAGAGCAGATTGAGTTGCATTAAACAAGTCCCTAATGAGCAAAAGTATTTTAATCTCTGTGGTCACACCCCATAATTTTGACTTCTGTCTGAGTTTTCCCCAAAAGCTTCAGGCTCCTCCATCAGAGCGTATCATCATCACCCAGTCTCCTTACACAAAATACACACCAAAATACAGGACGAAACCAGGACTAGATCCATGCCCTTGTACTGTCTGTACTCGTCTGTCCAAAGGATTTAGGATCAGAACATCTCATTCGTCAGAAAAACTTCACACTTGCACACATGCCAAATTGCCACATCCAAACTGGGACTAAACTGGTGCTAAAGTAGACCCGGCACTAAACCTGTACCAGACTAGGACTACATCAGGACTAGAGCAGGACCAAAGCAAGTAACAGGACTGAATGGAAATATGAACACATCCTACACATCCATCTGAAGGAGGATTAAGGCACTTTGAACAAATCCAAGAACAAACAGGATGTAAAATAAAAAATAAACCAGAATTTAAAGATTCACTGTGTAACTTTTCTGATACCTGCTTTTCTCCATGAGGATGTTTTGCCTGGAATGTTCTACAGTTTGGCATTAAATTTACCTGTCTCTACAAACACAATCAGGCGCGTTATTCACATTACATTCATAGCAAAACACCTCAGATTGAATAAATGTAAGATAGGAGCATAATGCCTACACAGAAACATCTCCATGGATACAAGCAATTTGCATACTGCACCTTTAAAGGGCCCATATTACATTATTTTCTGATCTGTTATAATGTTGTTTCCTCATTAAAAATATACCTGGGGTTGTTTCATTCACAAATGTTTAACACACAGATCATTTTAAGTTGAGTTTTTCACTCAAACTGAAACACTCTGTTCCACCTTGTGATGCCATGTGGTAATACAGGAAGTGCTTCACTGTGTTTTAAAAGTTACACCTATGCCTTCACTGGAATATTTTAGATAATTTCAAGACCTGGAATTGCCTGTTTATACTGAACAAGAGGTAAAGGGTAGAGTTTAATTTGGAAACTACTGCTTTGTGACATCACAAGGCGGAACAGAGCATTTTGAGATTTGGAAATGTAGACAGAGTAATAATAAAGGGTTATTCAAACATGCGTGAATGAAACAAATCCCAACTCCAGGTGTGTTTTTGACGAGGTAACATTATAACAAGACTTAAAGCTCACAAGAATTAATTTAGCCAAATATAGGACCTTTAAATAGGTTCAAACTAGAAATGAGGACTAAATCAGATCAAAATCAGTAAACCAGTGCTAACAGCTCCCTCCTCCTCTGCCCACTTGACAGTCAGACTTGAGCCTCCACATCCTCACCTCTCTCCTCTCTGTGTAAAACAATTCAGCTGTCACTCTCCCTGCTGTCATTCACTGTCCCACTGGATTCAAATACGGCATCACAATCATCACTATACTGTAGCAAATCTGTTTCCTTCCTCTTATGTTAAATGGTATATTGTGACGATTCTTATTCTAAAATGTGTGAGTGCTGTGTTTGTTCTGTGATTGTGTTGCTTCATGAAAAGATTGACTCACCCGATTCCTGCCTCTGCTCACACTCAATCTGCAGCCCATCTCTGCACATTCAGCCTAGGAGACGAGGAGAGGAGACGAGGAGACAGGGAGACAAGGCAAGGAGAGAGGAGAGGAGGAGAGGAGACACACAGATCCAAGTCTAAGTCCAAGTCTAGATCCAGGTCCAGGGAGGCGCAGACTGGAGCCAGCTGCGTGCGTCCTGCTCCGAGTGCGTCTCATTTTCAAACTGAGATTCCCCCACAATGCACTGTTTGCTGCTGTGGACTGCAGCTCCCAGCATGCACAAGGCTCACAGATGAATGGAATCATGGGAGGTGGAGTCCAAAGAGCCACATTATCACTGTCATAAGACCTAAGTCTTTCAAATCTGCACTGCGCAACTTTTCTGGTGGAGGGTAACCATGGAGATGTTATTGAAATACAATAGTTCCTTCTGTGAACAGGAGCAACTCTCCACAGATCTGAATTGTAATAGCTTAATCTATACTGTGAAACATAATAGACAAAGCAATAACATCCCCACGGAGATAAGCAGGTGGCGGACCCTCCACTAGAAATGTTACGCACTGTAGCTTTGAGTAAATAAACTCAAAATGCCAGTATGATCGCTATACTTCTGACTGATTTCAGTGCCATGAATACAAATTTGTTGAGCTACTTTATGTATTACAGGGATACTGTTTAAACCACATTTATAACACTGTTTATAGGCATAACTTATAATCAGGACTCTCTTGTAAATAAAACTCTGATTATAATGAGACCATCAGACAATATGATCCAAGTCTAAAGATCTTTTTTTTGGTTTTTTTGTTTTGTCCAAATTAGAAAATGAAAAAGGAGACCCTGTATAACCACTAAATAACACACTTTCTTATTCATGCATATTAAGATTCAGTTTTTATATAAATGACAGAAATGGTTTAGTTTTTATAGTTAACTAATGTTTATTTACAGTCTGTACAGTTTACTGCAATTACACAGAGTCCAGTTAGAGTCATTACATTAAAACAATAAAACAAAAAAACTCAAAACAACACGAGACAGGAAGGCAAGGTCAAACAAAAAGAGAATGCTGATCATTAAGCACAACTCAAAACATTTTACCTTTCAACTGTTTGATGGTTATAATGCTACTATTATAGAATATGCCTACTCTGAAATGTAGGGGGCGCTGTACAGTGAAAAATGTGGTTAAAAATCTTTATTGAACCAGGATATTCCCACTGAGATTTACTGTCAGGGGACTCCTGGCCCCAGTGGGGACCCTATTGCACATGTTGTCAGAGGTAACCGCAGCAGAACATAAATTTCCACTCAGAAAATGCTCCCCCTGCTGGAATCCTACCGGGGACGGTCTTGGCGAGAAACTAAAGCACTAGCTAACCATTCTGTCACTGTGTGGCCTTGAAATCTACTGAGTTCAGCTTTGAGAGCCCAGAGGTGTGGCTCTCAGGAAGAGGAAACTAAAGCTCTCTCAGTGGAGGAGCAGACATATCCATAAAACTAGCAGGCTCCAGGACCCACAGAGGACCACAGTGTGTGCAGAGGACACAGTCTCATGTCGCTTGTGTTTCTCCACCGGCCCCTTCTGCTGCTGCCCCCGGTTCTCAGGAGGTTGGGTCTTAGGACCAGGGGCTGTAGTCTGAGGGTGAGAAGGAGGAGCCTTTTCACTGGTCTGAGGGCAAACAGGGATTCAGTTAAATACCGTTGTAATTAGTGCCAGGTCTGGACACACCAAGCCAATCACTGCCTCGAGTGTTCAGTGACTAAAGTGAAGACCTGATCTTTGTCCATTCAGCTGTGTTTAGCAGACATCAAAT